GCCAATCCAACGACGTGGACGAGGACGATGTTGATCCGGACGGATGGAATTTTTCTTCTGATGACCATTTGGGGGAGAGAAGAAGAGGGAATGGGCAAAAATTGAATGGCTACAAACTTTTCGACTTGCGGTGATTTGATCAACGAGTAGAATAATGGTCTGATTTCGGAGTATTCTGCGTAGCATCATTTGCTTTTGTTTTGGTGCATATTTTGCTGCAAACAATTGATTATTCATTTGAATTGTTTACTTGGAGTGTTTGACTGTTATTCGTTTGCTCGTGAAACTGTTTGAATGGAATTTCCACAAGGTTTTGAGTATTGAACCGAGATTCGCCTTTATTCGAATTTGTTGCGATGCTCTTCAATGATGTGTTCATTATTCATTGTCATGATTCAAATTGTCATATTTCAATGATTTCATATTTTAGTGCCGAGTGATTTCAGTGATTCAAGTTGTGATTTAAAAATGATTCAAACTGCGATTCAAATCAATGTGATAACGTCCACTTGTGAGGAGTTCAAATTTCAATGTCATTGTATATTACTGTTATTATATAAATGTTGCCTGCAGTGTTGAATAATTATTACGACTTAAATGAATATGTTCAGAGGCGATTTTATGATGCGATCATAATATTGCTTTGTGTTTTCCAAACGCCATAAGATTGTCATTATTCTTTAGTAGCTTCACTAGTATTATTCTTTATATTAAAATATTATTAACGGCAACGGGATTCATTTTCTTTTCACAGATTTTTTATTTTCATTTTCATAAAGAAAAATCATTTTCACATCGATGGATGACAGTGCGCTCCGATGCCACCGCCTTAGGGTATTCCGTGTCCGCGCATCATCACATAATCATCTGAGGTATCCAGATCAGTAATCGACGGACCAACCAGTTGCTGGACACCACAGCTAGACGGGCAGTGTCCACCAGGCTCGCCGGCCTCTCCAGGTGCACCAGGTGGGCCCGGAGGTCCGTGTTCGCCTCGTTTCCCAGGTGGTCCTGTTGGTCCCTGAATAATAGGATTAAATTGTTTGGAGTGTTTACTCATATTCTGCGGTTTTCCTTCCATACTTTTGTCATTCATAACGGACACTTTTGATGCAATCGTTTGTTTCCGATTATGCATGAACCATGAGCACAGCAATAAATGGAAATGGCATTTATATGTTGCATTTAGCATTTATTCACTTTATGTTTTATTACTTCCCCGCAGCACATCAACGTTTTTCTTTGAAAGAAATTTTTGTGTTGAATAAATAAGTAAATAAATAAAATGCACTGTAAGAAAATCGCATTAAATTTCTGTAATGATAAGCATTTTATAGTTTCTATAATCGCGCTATTCGGAAAGATCACAAATATACAAGGAATAGAATCTTTTCTTAGTCTCAAAATCCAAATTTCTCAATTTGTCTTGAACCGATTGCCAAATGTTGACTTACCATTTCTCCCCTCGGCCCTTGTGGGCCGTAATTGCTTGACGGTAAACCGTTCGGACCTGGAGGTCCTTTTGGACCGCGTGGTCCTGGAGGACCTGGTGGCCCTTTGATTCCCGTTCCACCTATGGAGTCGTCACCGGGAGGTCCCTGCAGTGAAGTTGATCGAAATGTGATGCAGAGTGATTGGGGAACGTTCTGCATTATTTGTCTTGAATCCACATTTGTATTTGAAAAGAACAGTCTATGAAATCGGAACTACCTTAATTCCAGGTTCACCAGGCTCTCCTGGAGGTCCCGGAGGGCCTGTATCACCGACACGTCCAGGTTTACCCGGCCTTCCCGGTAAGCCAGGTAGGCCAGGATCTCCACGTGCTCCTGTACGACCAGGTTCACCTTGCGGCCCACGATTTCCTGGCGGTCCTGCTGGACAAATGACACTGAAAACTGTTGCATGTTAGTCTGGGCTAGAAGACATCCTGAGAACGTTGAAAGAAAACTTAACATGTGTTGCAAGGCCTGATGGACGATACTCATTGCCTGATAAAATGATTGATTCAATAAATGCTGTTCGGAATTGTTTCATGGATTGACAACAATGCTATGTGACTTCCAACTAATCTGCATCTATTGTCGCTGACAGTCGAATGGTGACAACTTCTTGCGTTCAAAGAACTCACCACGGTGAGCCTGGCTCAGGATCAAGTGGTATATCCAAACCATCCAGTCCCGGTTTTCCTGGTCTTCCCACTTCGCCATCAACTCCTGGCTCACCGTCGACACCTGGTGGACCAGGTGGTCCAGGTGGACATTTTAGCTGAACACAGCTGGTACACTGTCCTTGTTCGTCGTTTTCAAGCATACGTTCTAAAAGTTCAGAGATTTTCAAAAAAGAAACAATCGTTCAGGAGAGTAAGTGTGTCGGTCGTCAACATTTCTCCCATACTCAAACATTCATTCCAAGCAGCTCTTGGAACTGACTAGACTGATTGAGGAGTAAGTGATAATATCGCAATCGTTTCCTTGGGAATCATCGAATAATGTTCACGATAGTAGGTAATTTCCGTTAGAAATTCCTTAAGGAACTCATCAATGCTACCCTTCAAGGTGATTGTGAAGCAAATTTTCCAAGAGAAATCTTCCAATAATTTCTGCTGATCAATAGCATTTTGTTACTTCTCAGAATTCTTCATTGACGGTATCCAAATGCAGTGAGTGATCACTTACGTTCACGTTTTGCTCTTGCGTGACTTTGAACGATGACTATATCTTGCCACAGACCTCTCGATGTGAACTGAAATATCTTTGTGTCATTCAAGTTCCATAACGTGGAACACATGAGCGCTTCCCGACGTTATTCAGGGAAACGTGGTGTGCATTAACAATGCTATATGATCGTGAAAATCAGCTATCATGCATGTTTGATGAAACGCTCCACAAATCTACACTGATTCTTAGTTGCCTTGAGTAGAGAACCGAAGATAGAGTTCGTTCGGCCTACCTTAAAGGCCTCCATTCGATCATTGAGCCTTCTCTGTGCTTGATCCAATCGATAGTAAAGTGCCGGTATTGCGATTACCGTAAGTGCAACACACACCATCGATATAATTGCTGAGATGATCGCTACGCGTTGTGTGCTATCACTTGAATCCGTTCGTTTTTCATCGACAGACTCCATTTGACGACCTGAAAGTAAGAAGTATTTCTCTAGAGTCTAGACTAAGTAGCAAGATCGTTAACAACCACGGATCAGAGCTGAAATGGTTGTTCTTATCTTTAATAGTCTAATAAGTCAAATTCCTGGAATTGCTGCAATCGGCAATGGATTACAGCACTGAACCTTACGAAGTTTCTTCTAAGGCATTTGAATATTACTAACGAGCGAGCAGACGCTAACTGTGCCATGACGAGCATGACTTTGTGACGGTGAATGTTTTCATGAATAATTTGGACGAGCTGAGAAGGATGTGAAGAAGACTATGTGATCATCGCAAAACGAAACGTTTCAAATTTGTGACTGTAAAACAATGCTACAGAACGCTCCACCGAGCCACACAAGAGTGTGCATTGTTCGTAAGACATTTCATCACAGTGCTAAATTCTTGGAAGGTAACGACAAACATATGAATGCTGCCAGTGGTTAAGAGATTGAATGTTGGAGGGAACTGCAAGGAAGCGTTTTAAATAGAGGCCATTTGCTGTGAAGGAAATTGATTAAATTTTAGGTCATTAACAGTTTATGACCATTTGTTTTGTTGCATTCAAATGAACTCTGTGATGAGAACAAATTTATGTGATGAAATTAACAAAGTGCACGAACAGGTCCGATCGTCTAATTAATTTCGATGAAGATTTCAAATATTCACTATGAAATTATCAACAGTCATACTTGAACACTTCCGAGAAATTGAATCCTACTTGAACTAAAGAGCATGGCTGAACTGTGGTCATTTGAAAAAAAAAAAGCAAAAACGAATATGTTCAAACTGAAGAGACAAAATCGATCTTTAAAATGAAANTTTTGATTTCAGTTGATCGTTTCAATCAAGGTATTGCGGTAAGTCACATCTGAACGAAAAAATTAAAATGAAAAAAGAATAGTCGAATGTGAAATTAGCCGTAACTCTGAGTATATTAATTGTTGGATAAGAAGATTCAAAAAAAAAACAAAACAAATGAGTAATTAGCTAGAAAATTCAGTGATCAGCAAAATGATCGAAAACACGAATCGTTCGGTATCCCAATTTCTGCCGAAGATTTCCAAACCCATTGTCAGAGCACGACAGATTGCATCAATGCGTTTAAAATTCGAAGGGGCAATGGATTCCAATGGTTATAATGAGTGTACTTATTGGAATGATTGATTAGTCAGCAACATTGCTGAAAGATCAATTAACGACGACGTTTCTCAGAAGAAATACATGAACCTAGCGTTCCTTTTTTGTCGCAAAACGTTCGTGGAACGACCTTGATTAGGTCATCAGATACATTCAGGGTTATTTTTGTTCATTTCCAATTAAAGACAATGGTGTCATTTGAATTCGTTGCGAAATCGTCGCAAGTATCGAAAATATCAGCTGCACAAGTACTGATAGCGATAATCTCAACGATAACAAATCTAACAACCATAGGTAGCTTAAACTCGCAAAATCCAAAAGTTGACAGGAAATGTACGAAATCATCGAATGTCGTCGATTAAGCTGAATGTATGTCGTATATATAGAAGAAGGATTCTATATATACGGTCATGGATTATGGATTACCATTCAATCCTCAACAGTAGTGGTCCACTGATCTTCTTAGGCGATGTGTAAACTCAGCTCTGAACACTGCGATCAATTATGATCTAAGTTTCACGAGTCAAACATACGATAAACCCACTGCTTTGTAGACAAGGACAACTGCAATTTTCAATGAGGCTAGCCATGTTTTCAATGCTGGAACAGATGGCATTAATGGATCAGAATCCGAATCTATGTACAAAGTGCGAAAACTAGGTCACACCTTGATCAAGCGAGTTTAAAAACGATCAACACAATTGCTAAGCGGATTATCAGATATACCTCAAAAGCAGTTGATACCTACTTCTATCCTCTCGTCTTACTTCATAAAGAGATCCAGGGATCATCTCAGATTTTTGCACTTATCAATTCATTGTTTTCATGATTCTCTGCTCACATTCTATCAGTTTGTTTGTGTTCTCATCAGAACAAAAATTTGATACGTGCATTTGAATTTTGTGAAGATCACTCCTCGAAAAACTGTATTAATTTGCGCATATCAGATTTGATGTTTGTCTCATATTTCATTTTACATCAAACAATAAGCAAAGAGTGCATCAAACCGAGACCATTCGATTCATTCCCACACAACACACCCAACGCGATCAACAACACGTCTTCTATGAAAGAATAATTTTTTATTCAGCAACTAATGATCAGACAAAAACCAAGCGTTTTGTTTACCGAAGAGGATTTATGAATTAGATACAAGACAGATTTCAGTTCAATACATAATAACATTTATATTAACATTAATAATAATAATAATAATAATAATAATAATAATAATAATAACAATAATGACATTAAAATAGCATAGTAATACAAATACATTACAAATTTGGCAACATCGAAATGAAAATGACTTAATAATTGAATATCTCAAATTATTACTACCAAAGTAGACTGGAAAGAAGCATTCAATTCATCACTATGAGCAGTAGTTGATTGAAAAGTTCCTTACACCAATTTATTTCAAGATGAGGTACTATCTGGATTCAACAGTTGCATTTTTGGTTCAAAAATGAATTCTGATAAGTCGTTAGACCATCAAATTGCATGCTTCTCGATGAGAAATTGCACAATCCTTTCGCGAAATCTTTTCAATCCAAGCTCATTTTGAAACAGGACACAGCAGACATTTACATAGGTTCATAACACATAAAAATCATTGCAGTGAATCAAACAGTGATCTTCGAAGAGAAATACCGCTAGAGGAAGTTGGGTTATGAGAATGAAAATTGTGATCAAGATGTGGATTATGAGAGTTGATCAAATCGATGATTAGAGATGTTTCGATGGAGAATTATCACTAAACGACTGCCTTCGTGACACGTCTACCCCCTCGACTCGTAGGTCCAGGTGGTTTTGCGAAGCCTTTATCGCGGACTTGTGACGGTGGATGGACATGATCCAGTAATACGTCGTACGATAACACTTCTCTACTATCAATCTCCACCTGAATAACACCAAATTCAATGATCAATATAACTGCTTTCATCAGCTGACGAACTGTGAACGAGGAATAACAGTGAATTTAAAACAAACCTTTCTATCGGGCCGTAGTTTACAGTTCTGAAGAACGGTTTGTAAGAATGGTTGTTTACAACTTGAATACAGCATTCGTTCTTTGATGGTAGATCCGGATGAAGGCATCGAATAGAAAAATACTTAAACTTTCATAATTATGAACGCAAATTTGCAGTACAAATAAAAATGGTTTCAGTTTATCGATCGTAAAATCATTATTAAAATGCACTACCTGTCTTTCAGTTGAATTTAACACATAAATAAATTCAACATATCGACAGAAACTGAATTGAAATGAATGAGAATATTGAGCAATTGAAGTGAATGGAATGAATGTCTCAATGAAATAACAAACGTACTTATCGAATCATAGTGCTGATTGTTATGGTCATGTGAAAAACGATAGAAGCTATATCGTGGCTTATCGCGTGGAATTGCCTGCAATATAAAATTCATAAACTTTTCATTTATCGCTGAAAATATCCAACGCGAGAAAATTTCCACTGACGAGCATTTCAATTCATAGTAATTACATGATCATTTGAGTCAATAAGAACTAGATTCAGACTATGCTTCATTCAGTGAATTATTTCTGAAATCAGAATGCATAAAAACGAACAGCTGTTAATTGATCAGCGGTAAGATGTCGCTTGCTATCCTCAAGTTTAATCGCTTCATTCAGAGTATCAACTGATAACTGTACGAACTGCACCTCTCCAGCGACTAGTTTACGTAATTCTTCTTCGGCATTCTGATCGACCGGGAACAATACTCCTTGAACGTAAATTTATTACACATAAATGATAAGAGTATCTGAAGTGATTGAATCGAATCGAAACCTTTCAGGGTGTTTGCAGCGATCAACGGAGGCAGATTCATTTTTTGAGTCCGGAGTGCGTTATTCAATTCCTTCTCTACTTCGGACATCGGCCCCGGATCTTCTTTAGAGCGTAACCAATTCTCAAAGGATTCAAGAGTCATCTCATTCTTCTTCGTAACGTGATATTCATACCTTAAAATTAATTTTTTTCATTACATTATCTTTGTTATACTTTAAAAATAATCTTTTGTAAATCATTCCCCCATCAATGATTGCATTTAAAGGTCAGAAATGAACGTTACTTAAAAATTGATAGCTATACAATTAACTTACGTGATGTAAGACTGTCCGAATTCAGCTTTGAAAGTGGCTCGTGTGGCCGCAACAAGCATTTTCTCGCGGACCGGGGCACGGTCATCTGCGAAACTGAAATAAGAATGAGACTTGAAGATTGACCAACAAAATTCTGACAGAAATCGCAAAATTATTTCACTTACATATCAAACAAATGCATTTATTTCTTCATTACTCTTCTGTATCATCATTTCAAATGTCTTTTATCTGTGAACAAATCAACAATTCAGTGACCGCAGTCATAACTGACGTTCATTTGCTCTCGATAGACAAACGTGAATAGCAATGATAACACAATCCTTATCATACCGCTACACTTCATTCCATATCAAGTTGCAGTTCCGTAATAAGCCTATCATACAAAACTGTATCATGCAGGAAATGAATAACAGCTGCGTGCCTAATTGTTCACTGGTGGCTTCGAACAGCCCTTCGACACTTTGCTCTGTCACATCTTATCTTTTATCAACGTAAATTGTATCCACTAGTGACAACTAATATGAAGAATATGACTAATCATTTCATAAATCACACATCAACCGCTATAATACGATTGTTCAACACTTTCGAGATTTCCACCAAAATTTGCACAATCCTACACAATATTATTTTGGAAGTGAATGAAAACTGGCATGATAAAACGACAATGCCTGAATGGTACAAATACAATAGAATATAACAAATTTGGTATTGTTCGTTAAGAAATGATACTCGCAAATTGTATGATATTTATTGCTCGAATGAAATCTGTTGAATTATGAAAGACGCATTCTTTGCTATTGCGACACACTCAAACTCTTAATAGTGATTCTCTTTGCAGGATAATATGGTTTATAACAGGATAAAAACGATAATACTCTTCGAATAATTGCTGAATTTTTGGAGTGAACTTATGCAAAAACAAATCATCTAGTCCATGCTGAACAGTTCAACTGATTTTTTTCAATTATAAAATGAACACTTTTACCAATCAATGAACATCAGAAAATTTGTTAATGATTTGATAACGAAGACAATTCAGCAGTTAATAATAAGCAAAATAAAATCTCAATGAGGTGAACAAACCTAATAAGGACCCAGTTTGAGGGTTTGTCGAGTCTGAAGAGGATGAAACAAGGCTCGAATGAATCCACACAATCCGGCAGATTCTTCCGCCAATCCTTCTTCCAATCCGAACTGCCTTTATCCTCATAATTCACACATAACTGCTCTGAAATATACGCTAGCCATTGTCACTTCATTTACTGCTCTCACAAACAAAGAACATTTACACGAAATAATATACAGCGCATTATAATAATTTGTAAGAATAATAATAACAATCAATGATAATGTGCAACGAGTAAACAATATCTCTTTGAATATACACACAAAGATGTAACAGAGAAGAGTGCTGCTCTGCTATTACATTATATCAACACATCCAACAATTACTACACTCTTCCTTGGCCCTTCATTTGCACCATAATTGATAACTTAACCAATTTTCGACTAATTTCATTCTTTACACACACATAAAAAAAATTCTCCCTCAATAACTTACCATCTTTAACGACGATTTTGGCTAGTCGAACCTTTCCCAGTTTGCATTGATTGAAAAATTTCAGCAGATTTGCATCAGCTGAAAAACAAAACCTTAGAACTGAACGTGAGATTCAATACGGTAAAATCATAAGATATAAGATATGCTAACAAATTTCCCTACTCAAAATTACAAAACAAAAATAATTCTTTATCTTCTGATTAAAGAATCAAAAAAAAATCCATTGGTACGAAGTGAAACTCGTCAACTACATTTAGTTTGTGAAAAATTGCGCTGAATAGATGGATACACCTACCTCGGATGCCGCTTTGACACGCCATCGTCATATGAACCTGAGCAGTTGGCTGGCCTTCGACAGATCGCACAAACGAACACCACCGATGGAACGGATGGATGGATGACGGTTGGATCGAGGCGGTGAACCGAAATCGGTTGCGCACAACAACACCACAATGTGCTGATCAAATAATCACGCTCGTCTGCTTCTCATCCCCTCGCCCATTCTATTACACTCTCTCAGTGTTCATTCACATTCTGCCTACTACACTCAAATAGCATAGCTGACGTATATGAAACTAATGCGATGTCTATAGAACGGACTGATTGACTGGCTGGCTGCCTCATTGACACAAAAGTAGATATGGGCGCATAAATAATAACAGCTTTGGGATGTCGTCCTCGTCGTCGTCGTCTGTTCGTTGATATACATGAGCAATCGCACTGCAACAATAATGTGAATGCAAAATACCGTCTACGAATCAGTATCGCATATCAGTTGGTATTCACAGAGCCCAGCAGATAATCAGAAAAGATATGACCTTCCAATCTAGTGCTAAGTTTAGGAATAAATTTATGCAAAACAATGTGCATTCAAGATGAATTTTTCATTCTCCAATAAAATGTTAAAAATGAACAGCCATCCAATGAGACGTTCTATGGAATATTTCATTTGCATTCGTATAGAAGTTTCGCGAGGTTCGGTTGGAGTTTTCGGTGAGAGATTGACAAATGCCATCCAAGGTACGTTTCGAATGCTTTTCGGGGCATACATTTTCATAGTTATGATAAGAGCATCTCTTTCAATACTTTCTTTATGAAAATGTTATTGATAATTTAGTATTCGTTTAATAAATTATTCATATTGAACAGAAGAAACACGCAAAACGTTCAAGAAGTAAGAGTAAGAATCCACATTCGAAAAGACGAAAAGGAAGAAAATCGAAGCATTGTGCGAAAAAACGCAGTGCTGCATTATGTGGATGTTCTAAAGTACCAAAGAGCACATCACGTCACTATAAACATCGTTCGAAAACATCGAAGAAGAAATGTTAGCATAGGGATTTTTTATAAGAGGCTCGCGATAATCACCAATATTTGTGATTTAATTGACTCAATTTATTGCAAATATTTCAAATTTCTCAGAAATGCAATGATGACTACTCAATATAGTGAATGTTCAAAAAGACATCCTCCAAATATTAATTGATCTGCGGAATGTGAGCAATTAACCAATGACTGATTGAATGCACATACCTCAATAATATTTCATTCATTGAAAACGCACTTCTCACTTGATTCCCTGTTTGAACGTCTAATTGAACATTCCATCAAACAATCTAAATCTTAGTAAGACTAAGAGTAACTATTACCAATTAGGGCATTGTTGTTTTGAAGCGAGGAGACGAAAACCTCAAATCAGTACCTCAACTCGAGTTCAGTCTCAAACTCTCGATCAGCCTCAATCCTCCCCACAACAATCCAGTCAATCACCGTCTACATTAACATCACCGTCGTCAGCTCAACAACAACAGCAAACCAGATCAGATTCCGGTATTATTTAAAGAAATAACAATAAATTGATGATGTTCAGGATCAAATAAATGAAGTAATTCATATAAGATGGTATCACATCGAACCCATTATCAAAAACGAACAAGCACCACTGTGTAAACATTCATCTTATAATAGTGCAACGAGCGATTTCACTGTACCTGTTGATAAATATGCCCACCATTAGATGGTTCCATTCAACTTTTGGATGATTTTCACGCACACGACTGTGAAATGAACAGAAATATTATAGCATTCAGCCTTATTTGGGATGCTTTATCAGTCAACGATTTCAGTAACATCTACAGTTTGTAAGACGACATCTTCTTCACCTTCAGTATCTTCATCAACACAAACTTCTAACAATACCAACACATCAACTCCTCCAACTAAGGTTAATCGATTGAAATCATTCTTCTATTGATAATCATTATAAGATGGCCCATATAGCATTTGGTAATGTAATATTGAAGCCAAAAATCTCACTGACATCTATAAAGTCTCGTACAAATAATTGCTGTTAGTGTTGGATAAAGTGAATTGAAGTTTTACCATATATTGCAAGAAATACATTTTATACGAACGTATATGAGGAGCACATTAAACGGTCAACTGAATTTTTTCGAATAATTGCTGGATTCAAATATGCTTTTGAATTGAGGATATGGAAGAGGTTGAAGTTATTGCTAGATTGAGGATTGTCGGATTCGAATTAAGAATCGCTGGATTTAAATGTGCTTTTGAATTGAGGATATGGATGAGGTAGAAGTAGAGGCGGATGGTGCATTCGATTACCCACGACAGTCGTTCGTTATCCGCAAATACTGCAGTGGTGGACGAACGATTCGATACTTCGATCACCAAATGTCACATCCAATCAACGATAGACCACTCACATTCTTTCCACCAACCATCAAGTAACGCATTTCAAATAATTTCCATCAAATGAATATCAACCACTTTTTGGTAATGACGGTAAGTTATCAAAAACATTTCATTAAATATTCCAGTTTAGGGAGCAAACATTCTTGCAAGGGAATTTTACTTTACTGAGTGCGAAAACCTTTAACATCGGTTCGTGCGACTTTGTGCAAGCTTTCATGCCTACGAATTCCATCCCATCTATAGTTTGTAAGTTACTATCTATTCCTACGATTGTTTCAGAAAGTTTTTGACATATCAGAAGCGATTGAAAGCTGTTCCATTGAAGAAACAAGATGAAGGGGTGAGAAAGCTATCCAAGCATTGTTATTCGTTTATTCATGAATATTTGTTTGCATTTAAATTGGAATATACAGTTGGAGAGAAGCGCATTTCAGAAAATGGGGTATACTGATGCTATAATTTACAATAAGGATGACAAAACGATCACAACGAATATGCAAGACTTGAAAAATAGTCTAATGGCGTCGAAATCTTTTATACAACAACTAAAAGTTTGTTTTGTTCTCATGAATTTTCACATTTCATTAACATATATTAAAAAGGAGCGACTGAATCAGAGAAACGAAGTCTGAAAATGAAATCATTCTTGAAGAAACATTTTGAGGGAATAAATTCACTGCATGGAGCGAAGTTGCAAAATTAAGGAAACCGATTGAAGCACATCTGACCATGATCAAAATGTTCGATAAAGATTAAGATTGTCATTTAAGGGGAGAGTCGATAAAATCACTCCAGAAATACGGCAATGTGCTGCAGATATGGATTCTGGCATCAATCAAATGACACAATTATTCTCGAGGATCAATACGGCCAAACAGTGAAAAGAAATGAATGCAAGTGAATCGTCAAAAAGCACTATCGTTCAAAGCTAACAATAATCATAACATTAACATTAATTATGCTTCATTTTCATACTTATAATGTTTGTTATATTGCTGCAAATCAATTGAAGTAATTTCAATGAATTTATTCAAACGAAACAAGAATCACAATTACACAACACAAACAATGCAAATTTTGCTCGTAAAATCAAACCGATAATGATCAAAATTGTACAAAAACGAGCTGATAACAATGGATATTATTTCATTGATCGTCAGTGATGATCTCAGCTTACAATCAGGTAAATTGACGAATCAGTCACAAATGCCCTCGCGTCTAGTAACATCAGCTGATTTGGCAGAGGTGTTTAACGATTCATCCAGCATGAAAAATCATCAATTTGAGTGATGATACAGTTGCCAGCAACATCCACAAATTAATCACCAAAAGATCCAACATCGATCGCCAACCCAATTAAATTAATCCGTTGAATTCAGAACGTGCGCGAAATATCATTACAGAATTCACAACTAAATCACACTTAATGACACAATTCAATTGCCAAACGATATCTGTGTTCATTTGCCTGTATACATTAATGCACCGATTCGGATTACTCAGAATATAACCCAACGTTATAAAAAGGAATAAATGACGTTTTGAAATGAACGATCGTAACTTATCAATAAATGTACAACACAAACAAAACGGACATGCGGTGGACGATAAACCCGCTTAATTAAAGCAATAATTGCGATCAAATGAGTTCACTTATGTTAGATGCGTATTAGGTATAACTTTGTTGGAAAACATAGAAATTGTTCAAGCTTTTTACGGGGAAGCAAACTGCGTACTTCACTCTCACCTTAAACAATCGAGAAATCGAATTTTTTTTGTCGGAAAACACAAAATAAGAAACAATATTTCGGCGTTAAATTTAAAACAAAACAGAACATATGGTGACAAGATGATGCAACAATGTTCGAAGTGAATAAAATAGAATTCAAAAGAGACACGAATAAAGATTCGAGAAAATACAATCGAATGATCGGTTAAATCAACCAGACAGTAGCCACTTAAACACAACGTCAAATCAAGTGAATATGAATCGAGTGCTTGAATGAAATGAGGAATACGATCGTTCGAAATAAACAGGTATTGCAAAATTCTAAGCATATCCATATCATTAGAAGAGGCATACAACGAGAAGGTGCATTCAACTCGAAACAACATTACAAATCATTCACAAACGATGAATCGACAACAATAAATTAACGAGAATGAACGCACCATGCACCCATATCTCATATTGCGAACAAACAAAAATCGTATCATATCGTCGATCAATCAATCCATATTACAATATACTTGGACCAATATTGCTGGAATTCAAAACATGACAACTATCCAAAATAACGTCTGACTGAAGCATTCCGAATGAACAAGTATTGTTTTGGAATTTAATACGAATTACGATAACAGAACAACACCGCATATTGCTAAGTTCAACAAGTTACATTACTCAGAATTAAATTAACAATATAATGAACCGAAGGACACATTAACAACGAATGAAATATTTAAAAATATATTCGAAATTATTGACTAGAGAAAATCAGAACGTACTCTTCTACAAACCACCATCATCAGAAAGATTAACGTTCAGCCGGTTACGCATCAAACACTGTCATTAAAAAATAGCAATGGTTCACAAGAGTTTTTCACCTACATTCGAAAAAAAATCTTACAGGCAGCGGCGTACGCCAAACACATACCATATTATTTTGCCGTCCCCTATTCGAAATGAAAAAATTCTACGAATCGCAAAGTTGATTTCAATTGATGACGATAAAATAAAACACTGATCGGTGTATAATCTTTTTATCGATCTTCATTCACTTAATAATCTTTTTATCGATCTTCATTCACTTATTTTGCCACTTCCATTCTATAGCAATATTGATAAGAAGCACGTATGAGATTGTATGGGAAACACGACTCGAGCAGATTGTATGTCAAGTACGGACTTCGTTTCACCAACTGCAAATGCATTTTCTCACAAAACTATTCACCAACAAAAAAAAANAAAAAAAAACAAACTATAATTATTATCAGAAACCACCGCAAACGATAGCTGAGATTAAAAATAAGATAATATGCAAAAATGAGTGAACGAATAAAAGCGAACCTCTTCAAGAAGTATATAAACAGATTGTCTACTTTTAAACATTTCGAAATCATTGCCATCATCCGAAAGCCTCAACAGACCACTCGATGCCAACTTCATGAAAAAATTAACATATTAAAGCAAACCCACCATATGAATTCACCAAGCTTTCACAATGCTTAAAACATAGCAAAATTTTTCAAAAAATTTAATCGGCTCAAAAAACTTCTTCAAAATTCAGACTCGGTTTAATAATTGAGGTAATTGATACAATCGGAACAAACAAATGAAGCGAAACACGAAAAGATGTCAAGCAATTACCGCAAGAAATTCTTTCATTCTCAACACAATATCGCCTCGTCCATGCAAACAAAACAATGCATTTGCAAGAGTTACAACTGCTAACGGTATGCACTGTGAGTTATTCGGTGATGCTAAAATTTATGCGATACATTTATAATATATTAACCAAATGAATTTCTTCAACGAATCACTGCTCCATTCCTTCCTCCTTTACAATGCACTAACTGAATCGAATATCCTTTTCAATAAATTTTTTCTAACTATCAGTTCATATGAATTTCGATCAGGTGCTCTTGAATTCAAAGTAACCTTAAATAAAAACAAACCATGAATGGACGCTTTAAAAGTGTTTGAAGGTGAGAGCGTTAATCTGGGAAGCGATAACGCAATGAACACGAACAAAAGACAACTCGTCGTGTACTGCTCTTCAGGCGATTGCGTTTGTTGAGTCTGTGCACGAATCGCATTCATTAAGGCCACATCCACTTCAACACTCATACCTACCGCTGTACACATCTCCGATATTACCTTAAAATACTCCTGCCCACTTCACTTGCATTCTCAAATGAAACGCATTCCATAAGCTCCTCTGTCAAATTATTACCGAATCATAAGATAATGAAAGATTTTGAAATGTTACTCATCGGAAGAATAACACACCAATCGGTTATGGTCAGATGAACTTTCGTGAAGGTTGTGTACTGTCGAGAGCAGGAACGGAAGACGTTCCTCCAGAACATCGTGCAGTGCTTGATGCAGCAGCTGTCTAAACGAAAGAATCTCGCCAATGATGATCACCCGTTGCAATACCGATTCCATTGGACCACTTGATGCCATCTGAATCAATTAATTCACTACGAATAAAAAGAATACAAAACGCAAACAACGCTTCTTCGTTCGATCACTACTCTCAATGAAAATCATCAATAAAAACAAACTGAAATTTAACTAACCTGTGCTTTCTTATCTCGATTATCACCACTAAGTACGGTTAACAGTTCACGCATTTTGTCAGGTTTATCGAAATTACTTCGCGCGATTCGAAGCGTATCTCGATGCTCGTTAACGATTTTATTCAGCTCAGTTATTTGACACGCCACGTGCCATATTAAACGTTCACTCATAAACTTCACACCATACGGTCCCAATAGCTGCGCTAATGCACGAAGTTCTACAAAAACAACAACATCAAAAAACAATTCATCATCTCTCGCAGTTCTTCACCATTCAACAAAATCTGTGCACAAACTCAAGCCAGACTGTCAAAAAACAACCACATAATCTGCAAACCAACCGCGTGTATCCGTATACTCATCTGGATTAAAAGTTTGTGGATATTCCGGATTTGCTATTAGGGCGCTAAGATGTGGCGAAAACAGAATATGACCGGCGCTCATGCGTCGCAGCACAACTTCCAAATACCTTAAAAAGCGGGATGATTCACTCTGATTCGGAGAAATTTCCCCTGTATGGCTAAAAATATGCAGCAGATCTAGAAATGTAGTCAGAGAATTGCATCAACGCGATGAACAACAACAACTGTCCGATAATCGCACCCAAAATGACAAACCATTTCGTATAAACCGAGGTAACTGTTTCGTTCGAATGACAGTCCAACGGTTGTGTTTGTTGCAGCAAAACGTTATTGAACAGACGTGTCACATCAATCGTCACTAAAAAACGTTTCTCGATTGAAACGATAAACAAATAACGATTCAATTAGATCATCACATCAAGATTAATCCAACATTCTAACTGCTGAGTGACGATCAATTCCTTTCCTCTGTTTTTCCCTTTGAAATTGAAAAAAATATTTCCTCTCAACATACCATCAGTGTCAATATTCTGGAGCACAGCCATGTGTGCGTAAAGCACTGAGAGCAGTTCAGACGGTCTTCTGGGGTTATCGCCCACCATAACCAGCGATTGTAAGGATGCTGTGAATTGATGCTCGAGTTGTTGTGATAAATATTCACTTGGTGCAAATGTGTATTCGGCCACATGAATTTGTCTGCAATGCATTCTCTTCGAACACATTCAATGGTTTACATATCGCTCGAAAGAGATTATTACTACAAACAAATATCTCCAAAAAGAATCAACTCAAACATCGAATTAATTAGTCAATCAGTATAAGTAAGTAGCGATCGCTCACTTGCACGATCCAATAGAAGAACACAATTCGAAGAGTGCAGTTTGTAATTTATCAGCTATGGTCAGCGTATCTCTACAGTTACGTATACTCTCTTCACCGGGCATTGCTGAGACACGTGTTGCACTACTTGAATTTGAACCTTTACCAGCTGTAAATAATAAAAATTATTGAAAAAGAATCCAATTCATAACTTAATTAATCCATTCACCATTCTCGTAAATCAAAAACTGATCTTACAAGAGAACAAAAAGAACAAATAAAAGGAGTGTACTTTTTGGTTTGATGTGTTCCTGAATAAGTTTCGCACAATGTGTTGGTGACAACTGATCGTGTAAATGCATTTCGTATTCACATAATCGTTCAACAACCACAGCCGTTTCTTTTGATATTTCATCGAGCACCATGTTGCATAGTGAGAGACTCTTGAAAGCAATTCATTTCATTCGTTTATTCACTTTGTTGCCAAGCAAAACGAACCTTTTCGTTGATGTGTGCCTTCTCTTCTGGACATAAATCGTGAAGAGCCGATGCGAAATGCGAACAAATATGAGCGAATGCTATTGAATAACGTGATTGAGACGGTAACTGAAGGCACTGTTGCAACTGAGTCTCCAACTGACGAGCGTAGAAACTGAATAATGCAATTTTAAATTACGAACATTCAACGAATACTACACTGCAACTATCAACTACAACTAACTTATCATAACGACATTAATCATAATGAACATAAGGATGATGAATATAAGTATTTTCAGCTTCATTAGCCCAATACGAAAACACTACATACGCTGAACATTACAGGAAATGTTCAATTAAAAATGATAAAATCAAGCCAACGAATCAACATTACAACGAATGACAAAACAAATGATAGATGCAATGTGTCAAACCAATATATCGAAAGGTCACTCGTCTCCCTCAACATTTCGGTGAGTAAATCGATCATTTTCAGATGGAACACGGTCGTATTCATCGTGACGGCTAAACGACGGTTGTCTTGCAAAGAGAACGCCGATCGAGTCATACTCACGTACGCTTGAAATCGGAACCAATCCAGTCTTAAGCCACGAAGATCCACATTGTTCTCTGAACAATAATATCAAGTTAAATACTGAATTGCTGAAAACAGATCATACAGTTTACTGTAAAGTAATATCAGAAATTAAAAACTAACGATCAATTCTCGCGATATCTGCACAAAAATCACTCAGAATGGTAGCTTCATCGTCCGTTAGTCCATCCAATGACTGTACGATTTCAGTGAATGCAATAGCATCATAACCAGTCACATACCGTGAATAGTATCTTTGAATTATGCCAGAGTACTTCTGCACCAACATTCGCAGTTCGTGCATGTAGAACAGCAATTCTGGTAGTTGCCTTAAACAGCCATTTATCATCGCTCATTATTAATCATACCAAGACTTATTTTTAAAAGCGTTAACCACCTCGATGTGATCCTATCAAGAACCACTGTTGAATGCACTTTATAAAAATCGCATAAGCAAATCAAACGATCCTAACAATAATAATGATTATGACAACAACAACAACAATAATAAATTCAAAACAACCAACTTATCAACGATTTCTTCGACGCGTTTATTCTTCTTGCCACCTCCCGCAGGCCATACATCAATGTGTCTCAACAACCAAACCACCTCATCTCTCGAAAACGACAACGCCATCCAAACGAACAATATCTTCGGACCCAACAGGCCAGGCTGATCCTTGATCAACAAACACAATTCTCGCAGCGCACCACGCAAGAAACGACGTCGATCACGATGAATTGTTAAACTGAAATTGGTCACAAAATATCATTCACTTCCAAGACAAGAGCGTATTTGAACAAATTAAAACCACAAAAGATAGATGAATACTACAAAGATGCCAAACGAATCACAATCAATTAATCAAGTCAGAGGAAAATACAAACCTTGTTTGTAACGCAATTGAATAATGATCTTTAACTTCTTGAATTCGTTTGTGATAACCTTTTATTGATTCGAATACACTTTGTACTGTGATATGAACAATCAGTATTTCATCTCTGAAATTTGACCACACCGATAAACAATTCGACCAATCACAAAAATATTCCTCGCCACCAACCACTAAAAAATTTCTGACCCTTCAAAACGAACCTGAACAAACGAATCGCAAGACCGGTCTGTAAAGCCCGCTGCCATAAGCTCGCGATTACTGAATCCGATAGCAATGTACTATGACACACCAATACACCAACTGCAACAAAAAATATTGCTGATTCCTAATCTGACAATAAATCAGCATTTGTTACTCGCAGACAAATTCGAAAATTTATAAACAAGAGGATCAAAAGTGCATCTATACTGGAAACAGCTGCTAAAACTAACGTATAATCCAACGATCCATAACATCCAGCGACAAATACTCACACGCTATCTGCAATATATTAAATACAGCGAATATAGTCACCTAGTCAGACTCCACACATCAACACAAACAACAACCAGTATCCTCATTCAGTTAATTAGGTTGTCGACAATGCATCCAAAAAGAAATGATTGAGACTATAAACGGAAAAATGATCTTCTCCGAAACGCGGAAATGCAACCATCCTACCGTATCGGTCTGTGCGGCATACAAAATCTGTTGCGGGGTTGCAATCAACGACAGCATTTGTGCATTTCTCCACGCTTCCGCAGTTATATTTCGACGGACATAAACTGATGCCAATGAGTTGAGTGATGCATGGATTAACTGAATGTGACAACGGTTAAACAAATGTCAAATAATAACAATTATTATTATCATCACAGAACATAACAATAATCATCACTAACATTGTTTCATACTCATTCTATATTTATAATCTACTGAATACAAAACCAATTAGATCAATCAAAAAATTTGCATACCATCTCGGCTTCAGAATTGAAATATTTAAATACAAAACTGGCAACATGAAAGCGATGGAGAATGGTTTCGTACTGCACTAATAGCTTTATTTAACCCTGTTGAGATTAAATCATATGAATGAAATGCACTTGCTTGGTTAATGAGTTGATAACGGTTCTAATGAAATCAAATCAAAAAGAAACAAACCCTATTCAATGGCCCTAAATCTTCAGCAAGTTTCTTCAATGGATTCTCGTAATCGATAATCATTTGACCCAAACGGGGAAATGTCGGTTCAGACTGTCCATTGGCCATTTCGAATGCAGCATTAAAGAGACCAAGAACAGCTTTTCGATCATCAACACGTGATAACAATGTCATCATACATATCAAATTCACTATCAAATTCATGTAACCGGCTGTCAAATCATAGTTTAATGTCTGAAATTCAAATCATCTCACGTTACTGTACACCTCTATTATTCGTTCAGCTTTTCTTAATGTCCTTCTGCAGAAAATGCGGAATTTTTTGAAAATGGAGTCAATATTCGTGCGGATTGATGACAGATGAATCGAACTTACGATATCGAGTTTAACTTGAGACGCATCCATTGTGGTTAGTAATTGCATGATGTGATCTTTCAGATCAAGGAGATCAGCAAACGTGTAATAGTATAACGATAACGACTTGATTATTTCTTGTTTCATTACATTTGCTTGTTGATACGAAGTCTGAAGTTAAGATTTTTGAAGTTGCCCCATAATTTTTGGAATATGATAAGCTCAAATGAACATTTTGCAACATTCAGTAATTTTTTATGTGCTTTCAATATGAACAATACGATTCAACTTTCTTGTTTCTTTACTGATGAAAATTTGCGAAAAAACATCTTCGTCACTTGAGATGTGTGATAGATCATAAAGTTTCTATAGCGATGATATCTACAAGAAGTGAGGTGAAAATAATAAAGGTTTGTTACGAACCGCATTTGATCGTGCATCAATAACTGGGAATTTGCGAACGATGTGTTTGATGCATCCTTCGAGTGATTTTTCGCTGAGGAACTGTGGCTTTGATTTAGGATCGCAGCATGCTTTTTTGATGTTGTACAGACGTGTCAGCATGCCGATTGCACGATCATTGAGGATGATCAGCTTTTCAGCGATCTTCATCTGCGGTGCGTCCACACGGAACGCCATCTGACAATCAACTTGATTATTTCATAAAAAGTTGACGAAAAGCAAACGATTCAAACATCTGAAACATTCAGATGGAGAAGTGCATGCAGACGATGGTTGCCCGAGCAAGTGATTCAGATTCGTGGAAAAGGAGATTACCCACCCTTACATTCGATTCTACACACTAAGTATGAGCAATTGCCTAATACTGACAAATGCAAGTTGAAACCATCATGAAAGTTGTTTTTGGATAAATTCGCTAATTACACGATTACTCTAATGAATTACTCACAATCAGTCTCTTTCCTCTCAAACAGCGCCAAAAAATCGATGGTGTCAATAATCACGGAGAGTATTCGCTATTCATCGCATTTTTTGAAACCGCAAAGCAGCAAAGTGTAATGAATATTCTCTCTATTCAAAACCGCGAGCAGTGTTTAGTTGATACAAAAATTTTTCCGCGTTCATTGATATCTATTAAAACGCATCTGGAATAATCTATGAACATAATGCGAAAGTGAAAAAAATCTGGACAGAGCAAACGACACTTCATTCCTGTACATCACTTCCCAATTGATCTCCTTCAGAAAATGTCTTCTAATTATGTCTAACATGGCTAAATTTGTTAAGAATAATAGCACGAAACTTCAAAGGCTTAATCGGTATGAGGCCAACAAGCCAATAGGCGTGAATCAAACACAGAGAGAAAGTAGCACGCGTCAGCGGTTAAAAAGAGAAGAGAACCCGTAACGGAATATGGTTAAGATGTACAGAGAAAGCACATATGAACAATTGGTGCAATTGAAGCATCGTCAAGCAATCGAACAACTTGAGATATTCCGAAGCTAATTTTATGACAAAGCATATTCATTGTGGTAAATTTTTGGGCTCAGGAGAAGCTTTATCAGAGACCGTTCTCAGTTTGAAGATCCCCTCATCGATGTGAGAAGGTATTCATGAAATTCACCACGTAGTGTTGTAATGAGTGGAAATATCTCAACATTGAAAGGTGGAAACGAATCAAATATTTCTCATTGACGCAGAAAACTGATCCAGAACCAATAAAAAACGGATTCAACAGAAAATGATCATGGTATTGTGAGAAGTGGGTAAAGGAAGCTCTTATGACAATATCGAGGGGGACAACCGAATTTGGAACGAACATAATTTGACACTAAAATATTTAGACAAGTTCGGAGATTACCAATTTCTCGGGATTGATATGAGTTACAGTGATATGGAGTTGGGAAAGGATATATCACTCATTGTTCCAGAGGCCCGGATCAACAGCGGTGCGACAAAGACATGATTTTGGAATAAGAGTATATTGTTTATGAAAATAATGTATTGTAAAAAGACGGCATAGGGAGAAGTCGGTTGTTTTTAGATGATACCAGTGAACGATTATATTATCAAATACTTTTTGTTGCAATCGAGATAAGAAGAATAAACATCATATCAGCGAGTATTATTCAATGTATTATCCATTAACAGGCCACACTAATGTTATCACTTGTCAATACACTATTAGCATTATCTTGTGTTGAATCGGTTTTTTTGGTTCTCGGTCAATTTTCTGTGTCAACCAAAAATATTTGATAAATGTTTGTTTAATAAATATTTCTTCGGGAACGTGATAGACGTTTTTTCACTTCAGTGAGATGATCTATTAAGAAAAGAGTTCACAATAATCTTCAAATTAAGAACGACAGCTTTTGATGGGGTTTTTCACGTGCTTTAAAACATATATGCTCGATTTTCCAAACAAGTGTCCCATCATACACCTTATATGTGCATCCTATTATGTGCATCACTAAATTCCATGAATACATTAAATTCCTTGAATACATTCTCAGTTCGTCGAGGTGATCTCTGAAAAAGTTTACGGTTATCTTCAAACTGAAAACAGTCTCTGAAAAAGCTTCTGCCGAGCCCAGAAATTTACCACAATAAATATCATTCACCATAAAATTAGCTTCGGAATATCTCAAGTACTTCGATTGTTTCACAATGCTTCAATTGCACCAATTGTTTATATGTGCTCTCTTAACATCTTCACAACACATCTTACTGCTCTCGTCTCTTTTTGACCGCTGACGCGCACTACTTTCTCTGTGTGTGTTTGGTTCACGCCCATTGACTAGTTACGACAACACGAATTATTCTCAACTCGAAACATTCCGATTAGGTGCTTTAAACAACGATTTATAGTGTCAAGAGCTAGTAATCAGTTTGTGATTCTATTGGGAATTAATCGTTAAACGTTCATTTCAGTTTCATCTCGTTCAATAATAATTCATCTGTATTGTTGCAGACTTCATAAATAGTGATGTGTAATTAAATGCCTAATCCGCGAATAACTAGCGTTCTAGTTGGAATTGGAACCTATTGGCAAGAGGATTTATTTCGAAACTAGCGTAATTGTTTATTAAAAATATTTCCTACGAATTAGATTTCACAAGGATGGTTTCCCTAACAAATTTAACCGATCCCACTCAGCACCACCAGGTCAGTTTTTTTTTCTTTCCAACGAATTCACGAGCTACTACCCTGATCGTTCCAGCGTCAAAGTACCGTGTTCATTAGCAATTTCTCTTAAAAAGAGACCTTTATCCATGAGAATCCAATTTATGATTCCGTTCAAAATTCGCATTGTAGAGAAGTGAGAAAAAGGTAAGGAAGTGAAACAAATTTAAAAATTTGTTCGGGGAATGCAGTATCATTTGTACGTTATTTTGTAGTTATTCTGTTTGTCATCATTTGATTGATTTGTAATTGTAAGGTTGCATTTTATAGCTATTCGAATATATACAGAAGCTGAAGGATGACCCAAATGGTTGGCGAAATTGCATTGAGAATATTGTCACAGGAAATTTCTCGTAAGTTTTATTTTTGATGGAATCTACATTTCTATTTTATCATTTTTTTTCACCGTTGAAGTAATATTTGAATGCTTCAATTATCTGCAATGAAGCACTTCTTGAATGTCATCTTTTTTAACCACTTTTTTGATCATTTTTAAATCAAACATTCCTTTACAGTGGTGTTGAAGAGCATTTCGTATTTCTACAAGTGATCGAATCATATTTATCAAATCACTATGCAAAAGATGATAAGGGTCAAGAAATTATTCGATTGTGGATGTCGAACTGGATGCAAACATTGTTCGTTGTCTCATTGATTTTATTTTTATTTCATTCAGTTGTTTGGAAATAAGAATTTTGCCATATGCTCTTGTGGCTTTCCCCAGAAAACAGTACATCGTTTTGAGCCAAGAAAATTCTCATTCCCTGCGTTGCTGACTCTGTTGAACGTAGTTTATAAGAAAATGCTTTGAATTTTCGACAACTGAAATATTTTTGAATTGTTATTAGTGTTATATTATGTAATTCTCATTCTTGAATGATTTTAAGGTCAGCTGCTGAGGTACCGCCAAACTATTTGAGTAATAAAATGGCACAGCTATTCGCGTTGGTGTTCGCTGCTGATTTTCCTGTTCGATGGCCACATTTTATGCATGAGGTTTATTGTTTTTCCATTGGATATTTGTTCATTTCGTTTTTGTATTGGAGTAAACACCCTACAAACTTATCCTATTACTCATGCAGCATAATTCATCTTTCCGGAGAATACTATCTTCGCAGTATCTTTGCAGTTCTCAGAGATACTCACAAGGTTGTACGTCAAATATTTGTTTTTCGTCGATTCCTCAAGATGAACTGCTCCCTTTTTATTTAACACCAGCAGCTGCCGTATTTGTTTTGAGTTAAACCTAAATAATGTATTATTTTTCCATCATAATCATTGAAGTGAACGTTTCAAAATCAGTAGTTATATTATGTAATGTCAAAATTTACCTTAAAGGTGTTCCTTCACCATCTGGAATCGCCCAACGTAGTCGTGTTTTTTCTACGTACCCTATTGGCTATCGACACTGAAGTGGTTGATCGTGAAATACAGCGTACGAAAGAGGTGAGAATTCATTTACCTCTTTCTAAATGAAATTATAAATGGAAAGTTGTTATGTACCTCTTCGAATTATGGTCATCGATACTATTTGATCACTCAAAAGTTTTAGGTATTCGATCGTAATACACAGATTAAAGACGCGATGAGAGATTTGTGTATTGTTGATGTGGCTCATGAATGGACAAAGATATTGGTTCGTTGCATTTTCTTTTCGTTTTGAATTTCCGAAAGTAGATGTGTATAATAGATCAGAAACTGATCGTAGATTGGAATAGTGACGGAATGAGTCATTTGTGATTGAAACTGAAGTTCGATGTTGTTTTGTGATAGTTAGTTTTTTAAAAACAAAGGCTGCTTTTGATCTGGACAAGTGCTACTGAAGATGTGCACCAGTGATATTGCGATGAATAAGAATTATAAATAAATTGCAGAGTGTTGAGGGGAATGTCAAAGCACGCGAATTATGTCTCGATGCAATAGCGTGTTATGTGGATTGGATCAGCATTGAATTGATTGCGAACGATACAATGATACCGTTGATTATTGGTATTTGGTTACATTAGATTTATTGATTCTAGAATCTGAGTCGTACTCTTATTTATGAAACCAAGAAAATATTTCTGTTACGTTTGTTTCATTTTTTGTTTGACTATCGCCTTATGTGGTGATGAAGAGTTGGATTCATTGTCACACGATCAATAGAATATTAAACATTTGGAATGAGATATATACATATGTGGGTGATTTTAATGTGTGCATTGGTGTTGGTGATTTTTTTTGTGGTAAATGGAATAGAATGTATCGAAAAGAGTGAAGTGGAGTGATAGCGTTTGGGTTGATTGAGTCATTGGGCGGTCATTGAATCGAAGGCGAGGACATAATGAGAGGAGTGAAATTGAAGGATGCCTGGATGATGAGGAAATAAGCGAATCAGCAGTTCGTGCCATATGCGCGATAATTGAAAAGGGTATGGATGCACAGAAAAAGTTCTCGCTTGTATCGGCATTATGTGTGGTGTTACAACAAGCCGGTTCACTTTCGATCAATGCAGTTTGTTCTTAAATCATATGCTTATTATCGACGCATATTCATAATTAGCGGATTTTATTGTTGCGTTGAGTTGAAGTTCGATAATCTGTTTGCATATAGTAGACAACGGCACATTGACTTTTTGAAGTATCGTTTTTTGTTTCATATTAATGGTATGGTAAATATTTTGAAAATTTTCAACCTCACTGACTAGGGATATAAGCACATATCGCATGGTGTTAATATACTTTCATATATTGGCATCTTCGTGATCATATACGAGTAAATGAGGTCGTTTTGAAATCGGTCTGCTTATGTGCGTGTTGAACGCGGTGGATTAACTAATGAAGTGAAATAAGTCATTTACTGATGATAAACATGAAGTATTGAAGGAAAGTGATAGTGACGAGGTGATGAGGAATGGAATATTGTTAAGTGCGATCGGTTGTGCGTTGATCGAATGTCATAATCGGTTCGTTTTTGGTTTGTTTATTAGAATAAACGTGATTGTTCATACGAAAATGTTAACGTAACTTTCGAACAACTTTGCGAAAAGCAACATCGGAAATGAATGAATGAATGCATTTAGTCGGTTGTAATGATAATTTTGAGATTGGTTCAGATTCGATAAAGACAGTGAATTGTCGAGTAGAAACGAATGCGACGATTTATTGGAGAAGACACTTCCGCCTGCATTATTCACTTTATCGCATGAGGTACGATATTGATGATGTTTTGCTTAGGTAAATGTGGTGATGTGATTATTTTATTTCATTTCGCAGTGACATTGATTGTTTCTAGATGAGAAATTTCTGGTTTCAGGATTTGGAAGCATCGGAAACAGTGATAGAATTTTTACGTGAATTTGTGAATATGTTAAAAGGAGAACCGCTTAGTCAGCCACATGAAGCGTTTCTCATTGAGTTGATAAGGCTGCTTGTAAAAAGGTTACGTTTCTTGTCGTAATGCGATATTATACAAATGAGTTGTTTATTTTTAGGTGATGTTCTGAAATAGTTGCATTGTTATAGGATTGATGATAACTGCTCAATGAACTTTACAGGTATAGAACACCGAAAGATATCGATTTGGAGAAGGATGGTGAGAACGAAGTGGAGTTCATGGAGTATCGTAAACAACTGAGGTCTCTGATGAGTTCCGTCGGAACTTTGGTTCGTCCTTTGCATTTGCGGTGAAATTTCTTTCTGAAATGTTTTTGTGGGAATTTTGAAGTTAATTGTTGTGATAATTTGTTCAGAAACCCGACCTGATCGTCAGCAGTCTTGGACCATTAGTGTATAGTTTGTGTAATGAATGGGCGAGCAGTGAAGTGCGTCAAATTGAAGCAGTGCTTTCGTTGGTTTATTCACTTGCAGAAATTATACAGGTTTTTGTTTGGTGATGACTTTCGAATGCAGTATATTAACACCTTTCGTGAACACGTCAAGTGCAAAATTACTTCTGAAAGCGATTTCTGTTGCAGAAATTGTTTAGATCGGAAGTGAGATTACATTTCAAAATTCTCATATTTCAGAGCAGTTTCTTATCAAACAATGACGATATATCGACACGTGCCAAAGCTCTCATTCTACAGGTGTGTTTTGTTGTTGTTGTTCACTTGCGTCGAACGATTTCATTCATTTTTGTTTCTGTAGTAATTTTATTATATTGACAATAATCATTTTATTCATGTGCTGAAATCATTTCAATCTTCTTCATAAAGCAAGCGTGAATAAAGTATTGAAAGAAAGGACATACGAGTATGATAATTTTATTGCATTGTAATGTGGTGAAGATTGAATTTGTGTAGTTGTTTATGGAAAGTATTTTGACGAAAAGTATTTTTGAGGTATTATCAAGCGAAGTGACCAAGAGTGGTGCGTCTGTTGTGAGTACAACTTTTTTTGAAATCGTTTGTCGGTACGATCGAATCCTTGTCGCTAATCCCAAACCACTTCGATCGATTTTGGTTGGTTTTGAGTTTTTCTTCTACATGGCGTTTATGTCATTAACAGTTTTGATCGCTAAGAAAACAGATAGATTGTTGCACTTAATGTTGAAAAAAAAAGAGAAGTGATAAATTTGGTTTGTTGAAGGAAGCGTTCGTTGACTCTTTGACACATCCGTCAGCACGAGTGCGAGCTCGGATTGTTTACTTGTTCTGTCGATTCGTTAAGGCTCATCGGTTTGTTTCCTTTCATTGTTTCAGTTGATTATTGATTACTTCGAGTGATTTTCGATCATTTTATTGATACGTTTCAACAATTATTTTGCATTCTGTCTGATGATCGGTTTCAGGCAATCGTTTGGTGACTGTGTTATTAATGTTTTATTACGATTGGCTCCCATGCTAGCGGTTGAGATGGATGTTAATGCGAGGTTCAGTGAAGACGATCAGGTGAGTGATTGATTGATTTTTGATTATATTGTCCAACTGAAGTTTATCTTTTCCATTGAAAAAATACCTAAATTATTTCAAAAAGAATATTTTTCCAGATGTTTTTATATGAAGCAACGTCAACACTGATTGTGTTTGGGTCGTTGGGGAGAGAGTTGAAGGAGACGTATATGAATGAGTTAGCCGGATCGCTACTGCAGAAATTCAATGATGCTCACAATCAATTATCTCAACTCACCAATGAAGAAGATATTAAGAAGTGTACCCATTATATGGCGAATATCATTGGTTACAGTTCGTGAGTTTATTTGATTGATTTGGCGTTTGGCTTGAAATGTGCATTGAGATTTTTAGTTGAGATAATGTAAGTACAAAGACATAATCATTTGCTGTTATTATAGTAGAGAATTTATTAGATGAAAAGAACAATGTGAAGAAGACAATGAAATAACATAAAATAAGGAATATGGACAATGTTATTTGAGTGGAAATTTCGGGGATTCCGCTAAAATAGCATTGACCATAATGAGTTGATGATAAACACACTTCAAGATGGATATTTTGAGGAGAATAACGAAAACGTTCAGTGGAGCAAATACGATGGCTAGTTGTAATTGTGTAGTGATTTTTTACGAGATTATGAACGTGAGTTTATTCGTTTCTTCTTTATTCTGTTCAGAAACATTCAGTTGCAGTGGCAATTGATTATGAAGACGGCTGTCTTGATTAGTTTTTATAATCAGACTTCTATCGTTATTATTCTTCGTGGTTGGTGGTTTTGTTTGGTGGGAAATGAAGAAAGAATTTGTCTTTTGAAGGTTATCGTAGGTTATATGATGCAGAGGTTTATCGCATAGACACAGCATTCAGTGTAAGTGTAAGAGGAGAACAGTCAAATGTGAAACAATGCTAATTTTTTAATGATATTGGATATGTTCCTTGAACAATTATTGCAGACATATCTGGAGAAAGTGCCAGATGAAAACGATGAGATGATGGATGCACTACGTCAGTATTTACATCGGATGGTAGTTTCTTTAGATGAACAAATATTACCATCGTTATCAGCCATATTCAATAAATTCGTTACGCCAAAGTCGAATTTGAAGAACCTGAACGATTTTTTGATTCTCGTACAACAAATGTTTTCAAAACTAAAGGTATTATTTGATGGAACTAAACAATTTCTTTTTGTTGCGATTGAATTATATTATTGTATTATTTTATCTGGTTGAAGTGAATGTTCAAAGTGAAAATTTAATCTTAAACTCAATCCATTTATATTGAAAAGTTGATCGATAAGTGATCACAAAACTGCAATTCAGAAGAGGCTAATCGATAGTGGATTGAATCTTCGTGCGTTATTTGAAATTATTTGGACAGTTCATTCGACTTATCAGAGTGACCCAACCGATGAATCGTCAACGCGAAATATTTGTTACTTGAATCGATCCTACTTGCAAATGGTGTCGAGTATTTGCGCAAATGACCTTTTACCACTCATTGTTAATTGTGGTTTGTGTTGTTTTCATCAGTCATTTTATGATTATTATTATTATTACTGTTAATTGATTTACACAATTTCATTTCGAATGAAATTTATTGATGGATTTAGGTATTGATTTCATGGTTCAATTATGCGCATCTCTTTTAACATTCTGTTCGTGTTCTGATACAGTCGCGCAAAAGGCGGCATTATCAGCGGTATCGAAATTGATGTATGGATGCTTCAGTAATGGTTCGATTATATTTGCTGAATTACCTATTTGGGAACAAGCCATCATCACTGCTCTACAGGTTTCATTTTTGTATGCACGGCGTTTTGCCATCTTTTTCAACTGAATCGAGTTCGTATTGTGCACGAATCATTATTGGTGCCGCTCGCGTTCTAATTTTATTTCGTCGATGTTGGTGGTAGTGTGAAGTGGGTGTTGTTTGAAGTGGAATTGAATCATAGTTGATCAAAGAAACAGCTGTTGAAATTCAGGTACCGCTGAGTGAACGCTTTGATGCAGGTGATGCGCAGAGTATTTTAGTACAGCATGAGGCATCCACATGCCTTCAGTTACTACGGTTTTGTCACGCTGAAAGGTTTTTCTGTTTGATTTTATTCATTCATTAATCTTATTTGTTCATTTCTTGAACGATATCTGAATGAGAAGAGATGTGATTCAGTTGTTTTTGTAGTTGATTATTCATAATCATTTTTCTGCAGATTCGATACTATTGTCAGCAATCTGTTACCTGCAGAAGTCGCACAAAAAACTGTAGAATATTTGAGTTCTGTGAAGGTAATTTTGATTTCATCCTTCTTTTTTCACGATTTTCTGTTTCCTTTCAATGTGAAATCGAATGATTCAGAATGGTAAGGATCAGTAGGAATTCGAGCTAGCAACATAAAATGGTAATTGATGACGTTCGAATGTTTTCGCAGTGAAAGAGAGATAATTTTTTAATTTACAGGGTAAAGAGCTTGATAAGAAAATGGATGAATTATTCGACATTTTGCGGAAGAGACGAAATTCAGTTTAGCGGATCGGTTTTTATTATTATTAAATATTGTTGTTATTTCATATTTAAATCGTTGTTATTTTGTTATCCTAAAATCAAATTCTATAATTTTTCGGTTGAATATTAACGTTGTTATAAGAGATAACGTATTGTTTTCGTTATATGAAAATATTTTGTTATACTGTTGAGATTGGGTGGTTTAAATGAAGTTAAAAGTTTTGCATTATATTTCATTCGTACGTTTATACTTAACACAAAAATGCATGTTGTATTTCGTAATGATAATTCGAATAGAGCTGGAAAAAACATTCGTCGATTCATTTTTATTTTAAAAATATCAATCGTTGATCGTATTTGGATTATCGAACATAACTCAAAACATGTGATCAAAAACAGATAATCAAAAATGTTTCTAAAACAGTTCAATGGCATCTCAGAATGAACAAAGTCAACAAAGCGCACTTATCAGCACAACATTATCACCTCTAATAAACGAACACTTCAGATGTCTTTCAAGCAAACAACGTCTTCTTTCAGGGTACTTCTCACTTGCAAGAGTGGCCATATTACCGAACTCATCTGAAAACTTTCCATCAGTAGAATTCGTCTGATCGCTATCTGCGGGTTGAACTCGTTTGTAGTTGTAAGGGCGTAACCAATCTGTACCACAGAAAATTTGATGTTGTTGTCGTACACTTGGCAAGAATTTATCATCACCATCCCTGAAATATATCAAAAGTTGAGTCGACAGAGGAAAATCTCTCATAAAACAAACTGAGGAAAGGATATAAGACTAAACAGAAGCGTATTCATTAATATAAAAACTCTCGTTGTGATTATAAGTTGCTAATAACATAAGATATTGCTTAGCAAGCTGACTTCACACCTGATAATCATATTCCAGTGTTTATCGAACGCCACAATAACGGCTGTTATAACCGAACTAACTCGAGATAAACTCCTCAACGTGATTCGCACACGTTTTCGTTCATTCACCCATTCGTATAACCTCTCCAGAGGTCCACTGAACATATTGTTTGACTTGTGGTAAGCGACCGATGTTCGGTCATACAATCTCTAGATACGAAACATTCATTCGAATTTAAACTGAATCTTCTCACAATTTGCAAGGGTGAAAAGTATACGATGTGAAAAGTGAACGATGATGTTAAGCGAATATGAAAACCAGAAGAGATATTGAATTGAGGGAATTGCATTCAGATTGTCTTTTGCAACAGATTCCAAACGGATGTTCCCGATATTATGGAGAATAAATGAAGTGTTGCCATCGAACAATAATCATTCCTCTCTGACTAACTTGATTAAAGTTTCTGGAGTGTAATTTTAGCTGAATTGGTATGGTTTTATGCTGGAATGATGCGCTCGTTGATGCTTCTTTATTATCCTTTTCATTCTCCAGTTGCTGAAGTTCATCTCGTCTTGCACAGAGTGCCGCTAATCGTTCCTCTCTGTAAAATATTTCATTCATTGCAATATCAAAGTGGAAAAGAAACATGAAAAGTATGATACCACCATAAAAACAGATAGTATAGACTAATACCTTCTTTTACCGCTGGGTAAAGAGAGTTTATGTGCAGAACGCTGAACAGCTTCGTGATCAATTTCAATGAGACGTTCACATAAGTGAGGATTTGTTTCGCATAAGAAACGTTCGAACTGATTGATAGATTCCAACTGCTGATTGATTGTCGTTGTTGAAGAAGAAGGTGATGAAAGCAGTGCTTCATAATGAATATCCTCATTAGTCAATGCATTCTCAACATCAAATTCACTATCGAATGGATCCATCCTGCAACTGAATACCACACTGTATTAACACCAATCAACCAGTTACCGTTCCTCGTCGTTCATTCCCCAATTTCTTGGCTGGTCACCTTTTCAGTGCAGATATTATCGGTAGCTAAAAACGAGTATTCAAAGGCATTGGCCTTGTGTTGAGCATTTCGCCACATGGTCGCTAATAACCAAACTGTTTCAACTGAAATTCTACAGTAATTGTGAGCTGAGCACCATATATGGCTAACGGTTATCCGGGGGGTGTTTAAGAATTTTTTTGCTATCCGATTCAGGAGGTAGGATCATCGTCAACACCTTATTACATGAAATGCAGTCTTTTGACATTCATAGATGACTGCATATGTCAAGGCAATGTCGCAGTTGTTAAACTATTGCAAGTTTAATAGCCCTATCGCAGTGATAACTGAGGCCATTCGAAAACAATTTGTGAGAAAGTTATGAGCAGATGAGCCCTGAGCAAAAGAATCAACTGAACCATCCGGTCACTTGTTAAAAATAAATTCCCATGTTCACCTAAAATTGAGTGTTGTGATGCATTTCGATGAGAATGCCAAGGATCAACTGAATAATTCGAGTGGAAGTGACTTGTCGGCACCGTCAAAAATACTTCTTCATACCTCGTGGAATGGTATCAATTCAGAAAAGTGCACCTCTTGGAAATATCCATTCTAATCGGCTCCATTTGCAGTTGTTTTGCCCAATTACAGAAATATTTCTAGGAATTTATTCGTACTTCAGTAATATCAAATCAATGCAGTACGACCATGAAAAATAATAAGTCGTGCATGAAATTTTATTTTAAAATTGTTTCCATAATCAGATTCGAAAATTCAATGAATTCAACGAACAACGTAGTTTAACTGCCTAAATATGTATAACGATCGCAATTCAATGTGAACAATATAAACGTGAAACTCCAACATGAGCATTTTAAACAGTTGCATGAAAGAGCATCAGTCAAGTCTCTCTATACTCGAATAGCTTTTTCGCTTTTCTTCGCATTCAAGCGATCTTCTGTCGAAGCTGGACCCCATTTAGGGTCAGATCGTATGATAGATTTAATTGGTGTATTTGATCTGTATGCTTTTATGACTGAATAGATCAACACACCCGGTATAAAACCGATTATCGTGAATGTCAACAACCTGAAAGTTATTTCACTGAATGACTGTTTCGAACGAATAAACTAGAAGGGAATTTATTTGTATGCACGAAGCAAAAATAAACGTTTACCATCCAAAAATATCAATGCTGACGGCTGGTTTATAGAGTGTACTCATCGTTGGTTTCCAACCAAAAATTTGCACCAAAATTGAAATCTGAAATCGCTGACTGCATCAATAAGATAGATCACTTCATGCTAGAACGAAGCTGCATGATTTCTTAACAGTTGACTCTGAATTACTTACACTGAGAATGACAGGTGTAAAAATGAACCAATTTGTCCACCAATAAGCTTTGATACGAATGGATCCACCGACCATTGTGCGAATATTTCTTAATGCTTTCAGTCAGTCAAACATTAAAAGTCACACTCGAGAAGGATATCGTTTCATTGCGCAGTCATAATTGAAAGACTGACACGGTGCTGGTAAAGAGATTGCATTTGAAAAGAACGAATAACTAACGTAAGGAATCGCCTAAGTCGATAAACGTAAACCACGCTGATAATCTCAATTAGAACGACGTACGCCAGTGAATAGGAGATGTATCTTCGGAAGTAAATAATTATCAAATAACCGTGTTTCACAATCGTGAAATATGCACATAAAAATATCGATAGTAGCATAACACCATGCTGAAGTGAACCTTCTCAACAATATCAATCGCTAACCACTTTTGATCAGCCATAATAATATCGAATAATTTTGAAGACATTTTTTGCACTTCTGATAAAAAAAAAACCGTTGGAAGATTCGCTTTTCTACAACTCACAATCGCATAATCTTCTTGTGATTCTCAGCAACATTGCATGTTCTAGCTGCAGCATCATTTTAACACATTATTTATTCATTGAGTAACAAAAGTCAACAGTAAAAATTGCTTACGAGAAGTAATTTTTGAATTAACTCTCGAAATTGAGGCCATTTTTCGTCAATACTTTCACAGAGCAAATTCAACGAAATGGTCTGTAAGAATTTTGCGTTAAATGATGATTGATTACGTTCAATTTCTAGTTCGGCTGTACAAAACTAAATTGAAAACAGCGCAATGAATGAGTGACGATACCAAAGATTGTAGAGTGCTGAGTGTGAGTGCTACGAAAAAGAAAGTAGCATGCATGAATCCTGGTAGCGGTTTCTTGATCTTCGATGCGACTTCTGCGATCGGAAACGTATCCAGAACACCGCTTTCGATTGCGAACAACAGACGTTTATGTCGATCCATTGTTCTCCAATAATAGACACTATCTTAACTCATTGCATGAATTAATTCAATGTCTTAGTTAAGCGTCATGGACAGTTTCTACTGACTGTCAGTAATCAATGAAATGAAATAACGATTGATTAATAGCTGAATGCAAAAAAGGAACTAACTTGCAATGTAACCCAAATAGAAGAATGTTCCAAACACAGAGAGGATTGAGAAAAAGATATTCGTCAAAACAACGATGACTGCATCATTTGCGATATTATTGTGAAAACTATTGTGCGATGCTAAATGATGAATACCTCCACTACCCAATCTGCAATTCGACAATAATCCAGACTGATGGTACTGAAGTTTAACCAATACCAGACGATGGTTCATTTCAATGTTTTTATTCAATGTACGGAGTATTCAGTTAAATGCTTCAATATCCCCTGATTTCTTGATCTTCCTTTTATTCATTCCTTCATTTTTATAATCGAATTACATGAAATGCTCAACAATATTCGAATAAAATCGGTTAAGATGAAATATTATAAGTCAAAAATTCTGCAAACCTAAGCGTCAATAGAACACAAGTGACAGCATCAGCGTACAACGATGCATCAGCAAAAGATTTTGAACGGCGTGAAGGATTCACAAGGTACTCGGCACCATCTACCCATCCTTCCAAAGTCGCACCTTCAACTTTATTCACTTCTCTATGTGTTCTAGTTTCCATTTGAATGTGCTCATGATTCTTATGAGAGATCGACTGTAGCGATAAGTTTTTGAAGAGTTTCACCTCTTATGAAGAAGTAGATAACAATTATGAATGGAACTGGAAATGTAACGAAAGCCAGTTTTGCAATTAACCAAATGCCAGAATAAGCTATTATAGTTGATAGAACATTAACGAAAATCAAGTTGTTCATCAAATCAAATGTTGCTAGACGATACTGCGATACCCAATAGATTGGCTGAAACATTATTCACATAAACAAAGACAAATTACATTTCAAAAAAAAAACCAAATTCAAGACATTGGAACATATATCGAATTGAGATTGAATTTTGTGCATTTTATTCCCGTCAATCGAATTCTGCAATCATTTTGATACAAAAATCGAATTTCAATGCAACGTTCAATTTTTATGCTTCAAATATAACCTGATAAACACGTTGGAACACATAGGTCGTGAATGGTAACGACTGATTCAATAACGGTGCGATCACATCACTAAATTTAACTCAGTTTTTAGTCTCATTTCCTCTATCTTCTCAACAGTTTCTGGGAATAGACATCTTCAAAATGAGAGTTTTTCAAGTCTTTTAGTTGTCAGGTTGAGTTCGATGAGTTGATTGTTGGTTAACTGATGACAATGAAAAAGGGATAACAATGGATATCTTTACGTGCAATCATAACAAGTTTCGGTTCGGTTCTGTCGATCACAGTCTGTCCATGGTAGGTCGTAGTTAACTGCAATGCAGCGGCAGTTCATTAGATTGCAAAACCAGAAGGGGTTTGTGAGACGCATTTAAGAATCGAGAAGTAAGTAAGTGCATGATGATTTTCTAGCAATACAGCCTTATCAGTCATTGTTCATTACTAAAACCATCGCATAAATTTGAATCATTTTGAAATTTCAAACTCACACAATATTGTAACGACTAAAAGATATGTGATCTGAGCGAGATGACCACTCAAGTAAATCACTCGTAAAATCGTTATGAATATCATTGATAGTGATATGCCTGAATATTTGTCCTTATATAATAAAAAATTCATTTCTGTCCAATGAAATTTGCTCAAAAAAAGTTTTACTGTGATTTATTAGTACAAAAGATAACGCTGAACACTCAGTTTAACATGAATTTTTCAATGAAACTCAGTGTTGGAATGGGTTTGTCTTAGCAAGTTCAAGCATTCGACAGAGCCCTTATTGTTTTATGAAAATATCACAATAGCTGTCAATGATGTATCGGTGATCGGTATAATCGATATATTCCTATGCGGAAATCATGCTATTGACCTGAAGTTGCCGGTACCATTCGTGAGAATAATCGATGCGGTGATGTCGACGTATACTGACCAAGAGCCATTTCGAGATACGTTACGGGCAGACCAACGAACAGATACGCTACCAGTAAGCAGTATGTGAATGCTGCAAAGATCAGTTCTTAAAGAGATTGTCTCTAATGTGCATGCATCCTATTGATACGAAAGGTGAAGTACTTCATGACTTGAATACTTCAGCAGATTGATGAAACATTGATTAGTGATCAAATTCGTAAAGACTGAACTGGTATGAGATGTGTGAGCATGCTGCATATCCGAATGTGTGTACAAAAAAATCACTGACCAGCTCCATGTTTCCCATACAATCTTGGTACAATATAGATGGATGCGGGATCGCATGTGTAACTACAAAAAGTGAGCAATCTTTCGATGTGATTGTGCCATCGATATCTCGCAGACATCGCAGATGCCTCATCTTGCCATTCCAACAAACTTCGGTCAATCAATGACTCGTTTGATGGTGATGTCTGTGGTGATGACGGCTTGAAATTCATTTCATCATTCAAAACTGAATCATTCTCAACAAAATGTGACCAAAAATCATTGCGTTTCGAAATTTTCTGAGGTGCAATCTTTTTCTATGAGATGTAACTATTTTTTACAAGAAACGGATGCGTATTGTGAAAATATTTAAGCACTTTATATTCGTTAGTGTTAATATCAATGCTCGAACATCGTCCTCACCAGATTCTCATCTTCGATTTGTTGAGATGGTCGGTCATTTAAACCGTTCTGCGTTGATCCCGTTTCGCTTCTCGACTGAATCATTTCATTAATAATATCAGTCAAAAAAGGTGACAAAATGATCTCTTATGTGTATTTCATACCAATTTATGCATAAAAACGCTATGCATTATGCAACTTAACACAGTGAGGCTTGTTAAACAGCCGGATTTTTGACATTGCTGGATATTCTTTGTGAAAAACAGCGGAAAGTGATTGATTGCATTCAATCGTTTAAAACTTTGCAGTCATCTTATCTGCTGACAAGGATCTGATCACAAAAATGCTATTTCGTGATCATTTTTGAGTTATTGTAGCCATTTCAAAGAGCTTGGCAATGCTCGGAAAAATCCTCTCAAATATTCACAGCTAACTGATTATCTATTCACCTTTTTTTTGTGGGCGGCTGCTTTGTCGATTGTTCTGTACCAGTGGTTCTCACGTTCGAGTGCTTCATTACCCTTTTTGATGATCTGGTAGATCGCCGTTCCCTCCTCCCTCGATACAAGAACTTATGTGTTGCTCATTTTTGCAATTGATTATGATTGCATGGAAAGCTATTGTCTATGGCACGCTTATTTCAAACTGATTTTGATGGATTCTCATTCTTTTCAGACGTGTTCTATTCACTCTCATAGCTATTACATGCAAATATCGTTCTCTTCATCAGTTTTTCTCATTCACTTCGTTTCATTTCACTTCACAATGCGAATCAGTTTCTTATTCTGTTGCATATACTATTTACTGGATACGTTGACGAGTGTTGACAGCTGAAATCAACAATGCAGCAATTGAACATTATTGCTCACCAACGTTCGACAGTCAAATGATCAATTATAGAGTTTATCTGATAGAACGAGAATTTGACTTTAATTGTTGAGTGAAATGAATGAGAAATCAGCAGAAGAGAACACTTCTGGTGATAAAAGCTATGAGAGCGACTACAACAGCAAGGAAAAGAATGAAAACCTTGTTAAAACGAATGAAAACCCTGTTAGGCCCGGACGGGCTACAGAAAATAGAAGAGTGCTGCCATTAACTAATCGCATTTACATATCCGAGTTAAAAATTACCATCACAATAACGCTCTATCATTAAATAACAAATGCACGAAATACTCAATTCCCGATACTCTCCATTAGCCCTTGTCACCTCCAAATTACCCAAAATGGGTAATTTCATCCTCTATGAGAACCACTGCTCCATACAATCGATGGACTAAAGTAAGCGGGTTTATCACCATCTTTTTTGGGTCAATTTCAAGGCTGTTCGCAACCCTTTCACCTATCAATCGTTGGTTTCTGCGTAACTAATTGGATACTGACAAACGAGTGGTTGAGAGAAGATTCAAGAAGACGGATGAGTTCAACGTTCATATTGTCACCTAATCAAGAAACAGAACGATACCCGTCGATAACAGTTAGCGATATCCGTTAACTGCGACTGATGACTGAATAAATGAGCGAACGAAATCAGATTTCAACGACTAAAACAAGCGCATACCATCCCGAAGCCTGAATTATTATCCTAAGACCGCTTCTGCGGGATGATCGAATTAAAAATGATCAGTAAATAGATTTCCGATCCTCCAAATCATCAACTCTCACTGAAAACTTGCATATGCAAATCATCTAGATAAAGTGCTTTGCATAAAAATACTACAATACTTCATTTATGAAACACTGATATGAAGAAGTTGGATAAAGTATGAATACATTGTGGATAACTCGAAATGCTAAATTTGCTCGGAATTATATGAATAATTCAACCTCTCGTAATAATATTTACCAGAAACATATAATATGAAGATGTATGATATGTGCGTTATCCACAGTAATTTCTGCGTTTGCTAAACAATCTCAGTTTGGAAACGGATGTCTCACTCTAACCAGAATTAATGTGATGAAATGATTCTGAGTATTATGAGGTTAGAACTTGTCATCTGGCTTTATTTCACCTCACTCCGAATTCTTTTCTGGATGCAGTTCCTCATTCTTAGCATAGCAAATATCCTTTTTTGGATCAAATGATACTGTTCAATAATATAATGGACTGCCTGGTAATGTACAACTACGATTTTGCGGTCTCTGATTACAATCATCAAAATAGTAAACGAACATTATCTATATTATGATTACTGATGTTATCACCACTGTTATTTTGTTGCTTGAAAATAAACCGACTCATCAAAACTCCCCCATTGCTGCTCTAATTCTTAAGTAACTAAAAGCAACATTTGTTATCGATTAACATTTGTTCAAGAACCGTTAGACTGCTTGCAAATTTATGATCATAGTTTCTAAAACTCTTTCATCTGGTAATTCTACGATAATAATTGATAGCAACCACTCACACTAATCCACAGACGCGATCTCAAATACTATCTTCACTCATTGAGAGCAATTAGTAAACACATATTTCTGATATGTTCATTACTCACAAACAGCACATTAAATAAGCAAATGAAGAAAAAANAAAAAATGCAGCCGATTTTTCTTATCATAAGCTTTCGATAAACATCGCTCTTGCTGTTCAGACGGTTCGTATTGTTATTGTTACGGTTATTGTTTGCATTCCTTATATTACCTCACAATCAGCTTTGATATTAATATTTACTCTAATTGTTTTCCCTAAAACAGTCAGTGTACAATGAAAAGAGAACACTAATGCAGCTCGAGTATTGCGGAACCCCTATGCTCAATCGTCTGCTGCTTTTTCCACTCATAATTCGATGCATTCCTAAAATGTCTACCAACAGAGTGTTCACAGACGTTTGCGCTAACCATAAGCTGCTTTGTTTTGACCTAATTTATTAAGTTCCATTAGTGAGTTCTTCCAGCAACATAAAATCTGTATCACTTAGCATAAGCTATTCACGTATTCAACTAGCAATTACAACCAATTATGAGCAAATACTTCTGCTTTATCACCAATTATTACCGAGGCATTTTTAAAAATTCACATTCAATGATACTGTAAAGCTCGATAGAACTATCCCCCAATGAATACTTGTCGGCTATTGATTGTTCGTTTTCAGAACCATTCTTGTTCAACACAGTGCGTATACTAACTTTACAATCCACCTAAATTTTTCTCTTAGCAACTCGATGCCATCATAAAAATCTTCAGAAATAGTGGTCGTATTCATCAAAGCTATTTCGAGGAAAATAAATGAAATTCATCGTTACAGTCCTCTTTTTCCTTCCAATATGCATGCACTACTGTGCTGAGGGACATAAGTTCACTCGAATCGTAGAAACCAAATTGGGCAATGTGAATGGCTTCCGAATGAACATTGGTGAGTTCTGTGGTAATATGTGTTTTTCGATATATCACTTAATTGATATAGCAGTAAGGTTAATTCGAAATTGCGATTCGGATAGCTGAAAAACGTCATTATTTGAAGGGAGTGATCAAAAGCCATTGCATCATGGTCAAGCAGACGTGTTTCTTGATATACCGTACGCCAAACTATCTCCTGCTGTTGCAGAAATGGGACCTAAGGTTATTTGGTTATTATACATTCAGTTGTACATTCAGGTTATTATACACCGAAAGCATACAAATGCATTCAGTTCATTGTAAAGTACTGTGTTTGGTTCAATTACCCAAGTTTGAGTTAAGCTTACAGCACTGTGTTCATTTGCATCAGTTTGCATATGAGATGCATACTGATGCAAAATGAACTGAATGCATACTTTATGGTTTTATTTGATGCTGATTTTCTTATTTTTATCAGCAATAGCGTCAGTTTCATCAGTTGAACTATTACGATTGCCATCTGTTTTTGCAATCAAAATGAATCTTGCGTCAAGTTTTGCATTTCGCCTTTCCGTTCTTTTGGAAAGTGAAAATTAAATTTGCTGAACTATTGTATAATTATATTCATTGCTAATGAGAAATCGTCTGAATCCAATTGTTGTTTCAGAAATCAGTATCTGTGACCTCTGAGGGTTCAGCCAATCATCGTGAACCAATACGTGCACAACTGAACCATACGGACAATCAACAGAATGGAAATTGCCTCGCGATGAATATATTCTCACCGAATGTTCGTTCTTGCAATTGTTTGCTTTCTAGAGATAGACCAGAAGCAACAACCCAAGTCAAGAGAGCAAGAAACAAAATTTTCATTATACCTGCCTCGAAAAGAAGGGATTGCTTAGCGATAATTGCTTATATCCTTGAAAATGGAGAACTGTACAGAGCTCTGTCATGAACAAAGTGGAAATTCACTGAATTGTCGTAATGTGGGATCATGAACTTATCTAACTTCATTTTTAGCATACTGTCATATTACACATATCACATTGTTCACAGATGCATACTTCGATATTAGTATGGAGTATTTGATCTCTGTCATTATCATCAAATAAATACAAGAGTGTGTAATACATTAGAGTTGCTGAATTTCGAAGCGAACTCTAGATTTCTTCTGCTTTCAGGTGCAGTCCGATGAAAAGTATCCAGTGCTACTATGGGTCCATGATGGTAACTCGAACGGTGGATCAACTAATGAATGGCACGATCTTGTGAAAGACATTGTCTCGAATGGTGTGGTCGTCGTACTAATGCAGTATCGCCTTGGAACATTGCGATTAAGCCAAGAATTACCACAGAATTTGGGTTTGCCCGATCAAGTTGGTGATTTAATTGGTTCATGAGAAACGATCCAAAAAATCAGCATTGCTTTTTCCAATACGTCAGCATCAATAAATGTGAAATCAAGCGTGTGCTCTCAAGATCTCTAATGCGCATTCATTAAGCATGTTGATACACTTGTGAAATGCGTTATGAAAGACGTTTTGCCTTTCAATAGATATTTCGTTTGTTGCATTCACAAAGAAATGGCTGTTCGAAATTTTGACGATAACTTCCACTCAACACAAAACTCTGCCTGTATATTTCAGGCTGAAGCCATCAGATTTATTGCTGAACATATCGACAAATTCGGTGGGGATCGTAAACGTTTAATGTTGTTCGGTGAGTCTGCTGGCAAATTCGGTGAGTCTGCTGGCAAATTCGGTGAATCTGCTGGCACCGCATCTGTTTCTACAAATGCCAACTCATCGTCATCTCAGAGTATTACTTCATGATATATGTTCTAAACCAGCTCTAAACATTAAAAAATGAGACTGAATCACAGTGACAGTCCTCTTTGTGGTCTTTCACTCATCACTAATGAACCGAAAGGTGCTGAGCAATTAATTAACGTCCCATCAGTTTTGATAATCGACGCTATTGGACGATTCCAGAAATCCTAGTGTTACTGCCATGGTGTTGAGTGCAAACCGCAAATTCGTATTAAAAGCTTCTGATTACGTTTTTGAGGAGAACTTGGACTCGGTATTAAAAAGCCTCCGAAGTGGTAAGGCTAAACTGAACTGCCGGTTTCAGCAGAACGCTTCGGTAGCTAATCTGTTGAGAAAATAATTTCACTGAATAATTTCAGATCAGAAGGTGATGATGGACGCAGATGAAGAAATTCCAAAATCTTATAAGAAGCAATCGATCGAGAAAAGTTTGAACTCGAAACAACCAATCGAACAAACTTCGAAAGCTCAAACGGAGAACAGCGCTTATATGTGCTATGCTTCGAAATATTCTTGGATATTGATATCGCTATTATTGTTGCTACCACTATTGCTAGTGTTGTGGTCATCACCAATATCTTTCTCAGTCCTGCAAAAAAACCTCCCCGGGCAACGCTTTCTCAACAAAACGTCCACAGACAAAACGTCACGCACAAAAATTGCCGACAACGAAACCTCATCGAAAGAAACGTCTCCAAGACAGCAAGCTTTTATATTCACGCTTGTAACTTTCAATACGGTTAAGTGACTTAATTGAGTGGTAACAATCGTTCTTGTATTGCCTCATAAATATCAGATAAACAAAAACGTTCTCACGAAAAAATTCAATGACATTACACGGTGGACCGGATCGCAACTGGAAATTGAAATTCATTTCGACTTGACTATATTTCATTTATGAATTCCTCGCATGCACTTGCAGCTGGTCCTGATACTAACTGTTGAGCAATTCAATTCAATTCAGTTCTATTTTCTGTAGCTCGTCCGGGCCTAACAGGGTTTTCATTCGTTTTAACAAGGTTTTCATTCTTTTCCTTGCTGTTGTAGTCGCTCTCATAGCTTTTATCACCAAAAGTGTTCTCTTCTGCTGATTTCTCATTCATTTCACTCAACAATTGAAGTCAAATTCTCGTTCTATCAATTACGCTCTATAATTGATTATTTGACTGTAGAACGTTGTTGAGCAATTCAATTCGATTGTTGTATTGTTGATTTCGGCTGTCAACACTCGTCAACGTATCCAGTAAATAGTATATATTACAGAATAAGAAGTTGATTCGAATGGTGAAATGAAATGAGACGAAGTGAATGAGAAAAACCCATCAAGAGAATGGTATTCGCATTTAATAGCTATGAGAGTGAATNCAACACGTCTGAAAAGAATGAGAATTCATCTAAATCAGTTTGAAGTGAGCGTGTCATAGACAATAGCTTTTCATGCAGTCATAATCAATTGCAATAATGAGCAACACAACGATCTAGGACAATGGTTCTCATGAGGAGTGAAATTACCCGTTTTGGGTAATTTCATCAATTCGTGGAATATGAATTGGGGACTGTCATTTCACTTTAAGTATTTTCAAAATGATCGATTTGTGTTCATCAGTTGATACGACTGATATGAAATGCAGAACTTGCTAACATTTAAGCCGAAATTAATACAATTTCTGGAATACGGCATCAGTTAAATTTCTTTAGTGCAACTCCGATGCAGATTCACTAAATACAGTATTTGTTTACTTATTTGGCATGAAATTGTTTTTCAGTTCTGAATGTTAGTCATCTTTGAATTCATCCATTTCGTTTTCATCGTCAATTGAATTTGATAATTGCTTGGTAGGTGGAAAATGGACGTAAAGGCTTGATATTTTCATCTTTTTTGCACTTTTCAATAGGCCGATCTGTTTATCTGGATCGGAATAATTTTGTTTGGTATCCAAACAACTCGTATGGTTCAAAATTGTGTCTATTCAACTGAAAATCTTCTTTTGCAAAGGAACTATCACATGCAAGCAGAAGAATATTTCACTTCAGCGAATATATCTGAATGAATCTTGCTAGATTTTCTGTATATTATGGAGAATATGCCGTGCAGTTCGCGTGCAGCTGAATGTCGTTCTTTCGTTGAAATTTATCACTCACCGAACATTCACTAAGGTTACGAAATGATTCCATCGAAACCATTTAAATAATACTCATTCACTCATAGTTACCGTTGATAATAAACGGTAGTGGAACATTTGATATTCATTAAGTGAAAACAACTAAACATGCTGTATTTATTCAATGCATCGTAGTGATAAACGATTGAATTCTTTCCAGTGAATCCCTATAGATGCCGTGCAGTTTGGTGTGTACGGTATTAATACAACGTACCGGGTCGTGACACCTTCGAGGCATTTTCGTTTCTCTGTTGATCAATCAATGTCTATCAACAGCAACATAAGTTGATTATTGTGCGGTTAATATTGTTAACCAAAGACACTACTCAATAACTGATATAATCGAGTGAATATTTAACTATTCTGTTTTTGCATGATCAACACACAGCGTGAACTTTGTTTATTGCCATTATTTCAGCGGGGAACACAGCAAACAATAAACACCGAAGTATGCAATGTTATTGCATACATTAAAATATTTGATTACTTGATGCCGTTTCAATGATTGCGTTGAAACGTTTCATCTTGAAGCAAAATAAAATTACTCATTGAAGTGAATAAAGAACTGTTTCGTCTGATACCGAAACAGCACGAATCGGCAATAGTCGGAAACAAATAAGTGCAGTCACTGATGCTTGAGAACTGGAACTGCGAACATGGATGCCTGGTATTATTGGTTGGGAAGTTGTTTCCCAATAGCGATTCCTTTCATCACTTTCTGAAGATATCGTTAAGCGGTAGCCATTGAAATAGGTCAAAGAAGAGGGGAGAGAATTTTAAATTCGGAAACTGACGCCAAGAATGGTTGCTCTATCAACGGCACGGTAATCTGGCATCATTCTTCGCTTTGCAGCAATCTCCAAATACGGCATCTGGTTGCATTTCATCACCGTTGCATTCCACCGAGGGCACTCATTGTCTGCGTTACTGAAATCATAAAACCAATTGATCGTGAATGCAAGTCAGTAAAAGAGGCCTGCAGCGAGCCAGACGCTTACCATTTGATCCCAGTTCTGGCAAAATTCGTCCAAACTCTACCGAAGAAATCGGCTATGTCGCGGTCTTCTGGTGTCATCTGATTCTTAAGGCGCGCAAGGTCCCATAGTGGTTTTTGCATCAAAACAAAGGGTAACTCTGCTGTGTGTGGAACAGCTGAAGAAATTGACTGGTTATCGGAAGTGTGCATTTGGGTGGGAAGAAAGAAATTATGAACATATGCTGCTCCATTATGTGATAAATTTGTACGCTTTGAACTCATTGAAATCTTTTGTCGATGAATCATTCCTTGATACAGTAACGCATTGTATCCACATTCCAGTTAGAAACAAAACTCTCTACCTACAGTGAAGGATTTTTCGGAGAAAAGTCAAAACTCCTCTAATGGACCTCAGTACAAGATATATTACGACCAAGCATTTGTTAGTAGATTTTATGACTATGGAATGTTTTGTTCAACTGCGTGGTAAATACAAATCAATTTTTTTTCAAGGGTGACGAGTTGAGTACGCTGTTGCCGTGTTACTTTCCAGTTAGCTGCTCACAGGCTTGCGACTGTCCGAAACAAGAAAGATAGGTGACATTCACTGTATTCCCTCCTCACTGTGACTGCGAAACTCTTTATCTGTGAGAATCGTCTCGACAGGAGTATAAAACTCACGCTGCCAACCAGGCACCTCGAAAATACGTCCAACAGCTGAGTAATGATCAAATTCGTACAGAAAAACATTTGGGTTTTGATTTTGAAGATATGACATTACTTCAAGTGTTGTGAAGGCCGTGAAACCCATTGCGGTAAGTATCTGAAATTCATTTTGAATCTCCAAGATTTTCTTCGGTATTTTTTCACAGTGGTACTTTGTTGTGGTATATTTGCAACTGACTCGTCAACCTGGTAATTGCTTGTTCATTTAGAATTCGGATTTGTCTTCATTTTTCACACTGTTTCCAACATGCCTATATTTTCCAGATTCCAGCTCAATGTTAGAATTACTCTAGAGTCGTGACTGCCTATATTCTGAAGAGGAAACGACGGACATGAAGCTGAGGCAAAAAATGTTGATGTCAGGATTGTGTTTTAGATATCCGCAATAAGTTTAGAAAACAAACATCGCTTTTCACTTGAAGCCATCCAGTATGGTTGTCGTCTTTCAGATCAGCAGGTTTATATACGTCCAATAATAAATTCATAACAGGATTGACTTGTTCGCCCAGGTAGGAAGCAATATGTCTGAAGAATTGCTCGAACGACTGCTTTGAGAAGGAATCCACAGTTCTTTCTTTGAACAACAGTGAATACAGATCTAAAAATTTGGTTCAGAGTTTTCTGCATCATACTTTTCATATGATTTTTCCACACTGAATACGGCTCTGCTCTTATCGGCACTCCGACTCTATTTCGCGTTTACTTTCCATGAATCAATGTAACAGCTGACTGAACTCACCAAAGGCTGACCACTCATCCTTGTTCGTTCCAATAATGATTGGAATATTTGGCCGAGTTAAATTCGATGGCGGTCCAGGTAGAAAGGAACCGTCAACAGCTATTTTCCATCCTAGTGTATTGTTCTGCAACAACAGATACTATATCGTCAATACCTCTGCGCCTGCATTTATGCCCTAGCTCCACAAAGATAGTGGCGCGTTCGCCATCGTTCTCAGAATAACTCCTCGATGCGCATTTTTTGTGATAGAAAGAGCCATTAACGTATTCCCACTGCTGACTAAGGATCAACTGTTAAGGAAATCACTTGTGAGATTAGTTCATCTTGATGCTGGCAATTTTTTTGACTGAGAAAGTATGAAAAACTTGCCCGTTCGAAAAGCAGGAACTTTGTGGCGTCGGCTTCCATCATGCACTTTTTGAGTTTACTGCAAAATGATGTGGTTTTAATAAAGGATTCCGATAAACACTGACAAATAATTTTCACTACAAAACATTTTTTTGTTAGCCTTGTAAGTACGGACTGTGTGACAGTTATCTCTTAATGGAGAAATTTTCTGCAACGGCTGCATGCTAACAGAAGAGCGTAATAATTTTTCAGTTGAAATTCAAACTAAGAAAGAAATTTGGGGATTCGAATCAAAAAACGCAAGAACAAATACCTCTGGGTAGTTTTATTCAGTTTCCCTTTTGTGGGCAAATCAATGTTGCACACGCTTTTGGCGATAGCATGCGAGTTTCTGCTCATACCAAATACACCATCCAGAGACAAATAAATGCTGCCTGACTGAAGGATCGCTTTGTGGAACAGTTCTGAAATTACAATAAATGAGATGGAATCCGAGTGCTCATAGAAACGTCAGCTTTTCACTGGGGGAGGAGGGAGGGTCAGAATTGCGTTGAAGGGAAGGGGTAGCAAGGTGGCCTTCACCGGTAACCGTTTACAATAATCCTATTCATATAAATGAGGACTCAGACATGGAGGGATTCTAATAACGTGTATTCTTCTGCAAGGATGATGCAAATGAAAGACCAAATCGCATTCAGTGATAAGTGAGACATAGAAATCCTTTGGTATCAACTGTAACTGGTAATTGAAAGAATTGTTGTTTGCTTAGCAGTATCGTCCATCAAGAGACAGCCTGACAAGCTGCAGTCTCAGATGAGAAATGTACCTTTAGTCATTGGTGAGTAGGTATGTGCGGAGATTGACGCGGCACCAGCAGATTCACCGAATAAGGTCAGCTGCTTGGGATCACCACCGAATTTGTTGATATGTTTGTGGACAAATTTAATTGCCTCAACCTAGAATATGAATTCGCTAGAATCAACCTCTGAATTATATCATTTAGCAACTAAGTGTACCATAACTAGTGTGAGAGTTGGCCAAGCTGTTACGGAGCACATTTTTGTTGCATCGGCTGAATTTCACTTACAATTAGTTCGATTTCAGCTCTCTTTCGATCAAATGAATCATAACAGATAATTAGATAATAGGTACAAGCCGGATCATAGCCTGGCTCAGCTCACAACATCAATAATATTGGTACACCACTCGTTTTCGAGCAAAACTTTCTTTTGTGAATGGAAATCGAACCCGCGACGTACCAACTACCGGTTGGGGCTCAGGGTTGGATTCTTGTTCGCGGAGGAAAGTCTTGCTCGAAACTGAGTGGTGTACCAATATAATCAAATGAGTCATTAACCTGATCGAGCATTCCCAAATTCGGTGGAAATTCTTCATCCATAGTCGTGAAGAATCCCAAAGTTCCAAGACGATATTGAATAATAACAACGACAACTCCTCTCGAAACTAAATTCCGCACAATGCCATTTACGCCACACTCACTAGCTGAACCGGACCGTAAATGGCCAGCGTGAATGTAAAGCATCACCGGGTACTTCTTCTTAGAATCGACCTGTTATCATATTCATCTTTGTTTGATATATCTGAGGTATCGATAGTTCTTAGAAGATGATCATATTAAACTGCCAAAAGAATGATTTGATAGATATTGCGTTTGCTTGGAATTTCGTATCAGAAGGGTCAGTTAAATGGATCTGAAAGAGCAAACATTCGGTGAGAAGATGTTCATCGTGAGACAATCTTCACTCTGCGGATCGCCCGTAAAATTTAGCTGAGGGCATATTGGACGTTGATAAATTGCTTCGTAGGGAGTACCATCGGAAGTGAATTTTTGTATTGGCTCTGGTCTCTGAAACGAGGCAATTCCGTATGTTGTGGAGATTTGCAACGGATCGTGATGACTATTTGATATGGATGAATAAACGCAATTTATTTATTATTTCATAGAGTCCACTGATGACGGATCGAGCGTGATTAGATGCGTTACAAACTTGGATCGCCCATCAGCGAGGTGATGAATTCAAAATGCTTTATGTTGTGCATGCTTTTTTTGACATATTAACCTATATCATCCACGTGAAGCTTCCATGGCCCATTACTTTTTACGGAATACTGACAAATGAATACACGGAAGAGTAGACGTATAAACTATCGCAACATTTCGAAATATATAACCTTGAAACGTCGCTGGCCAACCGGCGGCATGGCATAGGGTATTCCAAGGAACACATCCGCTTTACCGTAAAACAGTGAGTTCGAATCGTTTCCTTAAAGAAATATGATCAGATGTGAAGATAACACGCAGTGGTACTGTCGTTTAAATAATAACTGCGAAACTTCTGCTGATGATAATCGTAGCAGCGATAATAATAATGATAATTTAAAAGAATAATAAATCGTACCTAAATTCACTAAGTAACCTCGCACTGTACCCAACGAGGTTTCAACCGTCCGATAGAATTTGGGCAGTGTTTTGCGATCAGCGAAAATCACCGTGATCAAAGTGAGCAGTAGAACGAATTTAATCATTTTTGAGGAGACTCAATACTGTTTGAGATTTCTCTGTAGTATTGCGTTCAGTTTTATGTCACTGGAAGATGGTCGTTTTAGTAGAGGATAGTGCTTGAAATATTGTTTAGGAGAAACACTTGAAATTGATTAATCCGATCGACTGGTGACATATAACTTTAGACAATGAAACAAAAACCATTCAGTGAATACATCCGTTCACAAATTCCACACCACATCGATGTGGACTTGGTGCTGTCCTCATATGTAACAACCTCTCAGCTACAAAAGCGCCAAGGAAGCCACAAAGCTATCTAGAAGAAGTGGTCTGCTTGCCATCCGCGGTGAATGCTTGGCGAGGGTGTGTTTGGATGATATCAGTGGAACCGTTTCCTACATTATGACGGAAAGCAGTTTTCAATTTTGCATTTGGTTTACGGGTTGGAGAATTTTAGAGGTTGCGAAATACAGCGCCAATATGACTGGCCGCTACATAAGGGGACCGACTGCTAATTGCGCATATCAAAATGTTCTGACATACGCTGTGTTTCGCCAACTCTAAAAATCCACTGAGCTGTTTATTCAAATGAACATTAGCAGTCACCCATAGTGCATTTTTTATCCAGAAATCTTTTTGCACTTCATTTTTTATCTCTCACAATCAGAGGGCATATTGCTGGCCGTGTAAACAAAATTTACATGGGACAAAATTTATGCAGTTTAAATCCATATTTGCTGCTTTTTTGATGCTTTTGTAACGAACGGTTTTTCATTCAGTTTTCCATGGAGTGAGAAAAATTTTTTGTGACAGTGTTTATTTATAACAGCGAATTCAAAAATAACGAAACCCATTCTTTCAAAATCTCATGAGCGCACCACTCAATTGCCTTTGACATAGTGAAGGAGCATGCTCTCTGTTTTTTTTAATGGTTAAGCTCTCCGAAAATTTTCGCAGTTCTATTTCTGAAACTTTATAGCAATCAGTTCTTACAAGCAGGGATTTCTTGATCATCGCCAAATATCACCAATAACAAATTCGGTGTTTCTTGCCTCCTTCTCATTAAATAACCAATGATATTCGACTTCTGAAGAGAGAGAGAGCATCTAACTGATTGGATTCATTGAAGATTATCAGAGGTATTGGCGTAAGTAGGCGTGCAATTGATAATCATTTGATCACCTTATAAGGTGACCCAACTACTCAAAAGTGCATCAAAAGGTCGTCTTTAATCCAGTCATGCTCTCCCAACTGATAAAGCCGTTTGCTCTTTTAATGTAAAATGAACAAAGTGGCACGAAACACGAACCGAAACAATAAATTACCGATGTCGCTTTTGAAAAAAGTGCATACAAAAGGTCGTCTTGTTCATTTGCATGTGAAATGAGCAAATCCACTGATCTTTCCATCGCATTCAACCATTCTCGCCATTTGCTTTATTCCCTTTTAAAGCAGTTGCAAATTCATTCAATTCACCCATCTATAAAGGCGTAAACCTTTACAAAGGCCAGGTGTTTTCTTGTTCGCCTTCTCAACCCCAGTTATTGCCTGCTAAAGCGTCTCAAAATGCAGTTCTTGATAAACCACCGTACACATGGTGAAGGAGACTGTAATAAGTATAAGATGTCATGTCTTTTGAATAGAACAAACTAGTGATTATTTACACAATCGAAACATACATATTGCGTTCGAGTGTTCATTAAAATGATTAATGATAATCAGTGGTCTGAGTGTTATGCCGTTTGCTCTTTGACGTGATATAAAATGAGCAAAAGTGGCACAAAACACGAACTGAAGCAATAAATTACCGATGTCGCTTTTGAAAAAAAAACTCTATTTATACTGCAATCGGATGAAACACAACTGCTACAAGCATCCTCCCTCCCAAAAGCTGCACATTGCTTAGGCTTAGCTTTAAGCCTTCGACTATGTTTTGTCATGCTTGCTGTCTTCCTTATGTTCCAGTTCAGATTGATCACATCTTATGTAAGTGTCAATTTCGACTTTAACTGAAACTTTTTTCACAAGAGCAGTGCTGCCATTGGTAAAGCTGCTTTAACGTGCATTAATTCATCTTGATACTCGCCAGTGCTTTTTGTTTCTTTTTATTAATGGATGAGATAGGGTCTTCATCCTAAAGCATGTTGAGATTTCACTGCAATCACTTGAGCCATCAGGAATTTAGACGAAGTTACTTGAAGAGCTTGATGTGTCCGTTGTCTTCAAACGCATTCTCTCCTCCGTTTTGCTGCATCAATCTTGAAATGCTATTCAGTGCATTCCTCAGATTCTGGTCTAGAAAGTACTCATCTAACTATTATCTGTTTTGCTGTTTGTTGGCTGCGCGTGTCAGCTGTTGTTGTGCAGCGTAAGCTTCTTACTGCAGTTGTGATGTAATAATGTAAACCAGTCAACCGTTTCATCAGCAAGTGTGTTTATCCTCTCAATTGTTATCATCTAAATTCGTCCAACTCGTTTAGTTATTCACATCCGTCTATATACCATTTTCCGTACTGGCAGCAGCTCACATGACAAACTCAAAACAGCTAAAATCTGGAGTTGAGGCGTGGGTGCATTGGTTGATGTTTTGCTCTCACCTTATGCGGATTGATTATGCTTGAGTTCAGATCAGCCAAATAGAACTGCGGCTGAAGTTTGATTAGACCAGAGCCTGAGCAGTGCTGATTTGAGAAATTGCGGTTCTGTAAGCGTGCACTCTCATCTTTTCTGTGATAGTGTTGTTTGAATGAGTCAAGTGATCGAGGCCAAGCGTTATCAGCATGTGTGCATTACCCATCAAATAGGCCGTTGGACCAGAACAAGATAGACTTTTAACCATTTACAACTTGGCTTTCGCAGGCCGTACTGAAGGCCTAGAGCAGTGGCTTCTAAACGCTGACCCTTCCGTTTCTAGTAAGTGACGGGATAACTGAAGATGATAAAATCATATCATTGGCGGAAGGGAACTGCTGATTGTGAGGAGTGGGTGTTGAAAGAATAAGGATCGTTCAGTGCATTCAGTAGAAGCGATTGTTGGTTGAGGATGCATCTCCTTGATGACGAAGTGCAATTCCACTTCACCCAGAAATGTTAATCTCAAGCGTGTGATTTATTGGGCCAACATAAAGGCCCGAGCCGTTCGCCTAGATACAACAGCTACTCAGTAGCCAACTTGGACACATGGTGTGGTTATAGCTCAGCTATCGTCCATTGCTTTCTTAACCATGCATTATTGTTGATTTGGGCCTAACGAAACTGCCTAAGTGATTTGTGTCCGTGGTTAATTGTTCAGTGTTGTTGAGCGCTGTTCGCCTCTCTTTGTGTTGGCAGTTCAGAGAAGCCGTCTGACCCTCAGGCTGCTGTGCCCTTTGGACCGTTATCTATTCAGCTTTTCGGTCATTTCACTTGTTCCTTGTTCTCTTGCTGTTCGCTCTTCGATGTGATATTAGTCCGGGAAGCAATCGAACGTTAGAGACTTAGAACTACCCGCTGATCTGACTGCAAGTCGATGGTGAGCCAGTTTTTATTTTCAACATTGCAACTGAGGCATTCTTTCGCCACATTATTCTAGACTCAGTGAACGATTTTGCATTGCAACACAGCATGATTTATTTCCGACGTGTAACACTCGCAATTTTAGCACAAAAAATTTTTTCGCTAAAATTTCAATGTTTGCATTGCTTCCAGTTTAACACTTTTCATTAGTCACTCAATCGAGCAATGTGCTGAATGCGTTAGTGATTAATGCGTCTCTAAACCTATTTGATTTGCTGTTATGAGCATAACCTCTGCGTTCGTTCAGTGAACATCTCATAAAATGTTAACAACCCGAACGAACACTTGCTCGGCATTCTCGCATTCACTGGCACGTGAGCGCTGCTTTTTGTGTTTTTCATGGAACTGATGCTAAGGCTAATAAGGCTCATAATATGGATCATATTGACAGCAATCGTGAGAACAATTTGGTTTCATGACCGATCGTTTATCATTGGCCAACGATAAAGTGTCGACGTTTTTGG